CAGAGGYSAAACGATCAGGCACATCTAGTAATCACCTCTCAACAAAAGATTGCCRCAGGCACTGCCAGGCCATCACATGCTAATCAAGGTAGTCAATTGAAACATTCACACCTAGCTCCAACAGACAAGAGTTCTTTGCCCCACCCTGGTCATTCCACAGATATATAAACCCATATTCCTAATTCCAACAGACCTCACCACCTCTGAGGATGCTTGCCATAGATGCAGGCGAAACGTCAGGAGAAAATGCCTCTAGAACGTGGCTATATAGCCTGAAAAAACCTACAACAACCCACAAAGTGATATGTTCTCTATGCAAAACATACAGTACTCTTCAATGCCGAAAGTGTGCTTTGTGTACTGAGTTTGACTCGTTACACAATGTGAGTTTTTGTGCAGAATCACCCAACATGCTAAACATTGATATGAACTTGTTGGGGATTTTCGTGATATTTTGACATTTCGGGACATTTTGAGCAGGAAAATTCACTTGCATCCCCCTCTCCAAATTGGTCCTCAACACAAAATACTATGTTTTCTGTGCAAAATGTGCAGCACTCTTTGATGCCGACACTGTGTTTTGAGCACCAAGTTCAACTTGTTACTCAATGACATTTTTTGTGCAGAATTGACCGAAATGCGAAAAATTGTACAATAATTCAACATGATCCCTAGTAATTTGGAGACGAAGCGTTGGGAACGGATTCCTTCTTGCTGTTTTGAATGAGCTAAGAAAAGAGTTTCGCTTTGTAATTGTGGTGTTTTTGTGGGTTTCCCTCCCTTCCCAGAGACGCCATTGCGAAGATTTTGTATTCGCTCCTCTTCAACTGGCTGACGGACCGCATCAATAAGCTCATCTTCCCTCGGCAAGAAACCCTCTCCATCTCAGTCTTGGATATCTATGGATTTGAGGTGCGATCTTGATCCAGGGTGCATCTACATTGGAGCATAACTGCAGTTTGAAACCACTTGAATTGCCATAATTTGATACTATGGGATCCTGGGATATGAAGCTTGGGAAGCTCTTGAGCCTTCTAAGCCCAAGAGTACGGAGAGCTTGCAAAACTACAATTCCCAAGTTTCCATCACATTGAGCTCTTCGTTTGCTACTCCATGTTTCCCTCCTTATTTTTGAACAGGATCTCGGTTTCAACAGCTTTGAGCAACTCTGCATCAACTACGCCAACGAATACCTCCAGTTCTTCTTCAACAGGATTGTCTTCAAAGAGGAGCAGGTGAGAACCAGATCTGTCCTGACCCCTCCAAAATGGGAGAGACTTGGATTTTAGCTGAATCTACTTGCATTTGTTTGCGGATTTTGCTTTGTTTATGTCCTCATTTTGTTTTGGTGTTGGTGCCATTTTTTCTCCGCAGCTAGGAAAATTTCTACAACCTCTCTCCTGCATCCCGAATCTGAGCCCTAAATTAACAAAATGAATTTCAACAGAGACTGTCACTCGGGCAGTCAAAGCCTTTCATGGCCGGAATCACTGGGTTGCTGTGAATTTTCCGGGCTGTCTGGCCACGTTCCAGAGCTTCTCTCCTAATGTTTGTTTATTTATTTATTCAGCCAGTAGCAACTCAAGGTGGTTCACAGTCAGCAGCGATTTGATGCCATAACAATTATATAAATACAGCTAAAATAATTATAAAAACCATTGTTGTTGTTGTTCATTCGTTCAGTCGTCTCCGACTCTTCGTGACCTCATGGACCAGCCCACGCCAGAGCTCCCTGTCGGCCGTCACCACCCCCAGCTCCTTCAAGGTCAGTCCAGTCACTTCAAGGATGCCATCCATCCATCTTGCCCTTGGTCGTCCCCTCTTCCTTTTACCTTCCACTTTCCCCAGCATAATTGTCTTCTCTAGGCTTTCCTGTCTCCTCATGATGTGGCCAAAGTACTTCAACTTTGTCTCTAGTATCCTTCCCTCCAATGAGCAGTCGGGCTTTATTTCCTGGAGGATGGACTGGTTGGATCTTCTCGCAGTCCAAGGCACTCTCAGAACTTTCCTCCAACACCACAGCTCAAAAGCATCTATCTTCCTTCGCTCAGCCTGCCCTAAGGTCCAGCTCTCACATCCGTAGGTGACTACAGGGAAGACCATGGCTTTGACTAGGCAATGGATCTTTGTTGCCAGTCTGATGTCTCTACTCTTTACTATTTTATCGAGACTGGACATTGCTCTCCTCCCAAGAAGGAAGCGTCTTCTCGATTTCCTGGCCACAGTCTGCATCTGCAGTCATCTTTGCGCCTAGAAATACAAAGTCTGTCACGGCCTCCACATTTTCTCCCTCTATTTTCCAGTTGTCAATCATTCTTGATGCCATAATCTTGGTTTTTTTGATGTTTAGCTGCAACCCAGCTTTTGCGCTTTCTTCTTTCAACTTGATTAGAAGGCTCCTCAGCTCCTCCTCGCTTTCGGCCAGAGTGGTGTCATCTGCATATCTGAGGTTGTTAATGTTTCTACCAGCAATTTTCACCCCATCGCATGATGTGTTCTGCATACAAGTTAAAAAGGTTAGGTGAGAGGATGCAGCCTTGCCGTACGCCTTTCCCAATCTTGAACCAGTCTGTTGTTCCGTGGTCAGTTCTTACTGTTGCTACTTGGTCCTTGTACAGATTCCTCACCATAAAAACATTTAAAATGTTGTATAAAAACAATACAGGCTGTAAAAACAAAATCCTCCACATCTCTTTACTAAAATCTTTGTCCATTTGCATCGTCGGTCGTTCCATATATTCATTTTCATCTAAATATGCTCCATTATTAAAAGCTTGCTCGAAGAGCCAGGTCTTAACCTTTTTTGCAGAATGTCAGAAGGGAGGGAGTCAATGTTATATCCCTGGAAAGCGTGTTCCGATAGCCAAGGGGCCACCACTGAGAAGGCCCTGTCTCTTGTCCCCACCAAACACATCTGCGAGGAAGGCGGGATTGAGAGCAGGGCCTCCCCAGACAATCTTAAGGTCCTAGATCAGTGATGGACAAGCTTTTGCGGTTGGTGTGTCAAAATTCGCCAAAAACCCGAGCATAACTTGGGTGGGGTGTCACTTCAAGAAAAAAATGGCAATATTTATAGTTTAAATAAGAAAAAATGTATAATCCATGCTGAGTTATAGAGTGAACAATGCTCAAATGTGCAGGTGTTAAATTTGTAGAGCCTTTTACATATTTAAGGATGGAATTAGTTTGGCTCTTATAAGGTGTACTTCTCTGTGTCTGCGTGTCATCAAAAATAGCCATGCATGTCAGTGCTGACACGAGTGTCATAGGTTCACCATCACAGTCCTAGATGGTTCATAAGGAGAGATACATTCAGATAGGTAAGCTGGACCAGAACCGTTTAGGGCAGTGGTTCTCAATCTTCCAAGTACCGCGACTCCTTGAGAGAGTTCCTCATGTGGTGGTGACCCCCAACCATAACATTATTTTCGTTGCTACTTCATAACTGGAATTTTGCTACTGTTATGAATCGTAATGTAAATATCTGACATGCAGGATGTATTTACATTCGCTGGACAAAATTTGCCACAAATATCCGATTCACCCAAATTTGAATACTGGTGGGGTTGGCTGGGATTGATTTTATCACTTGGGAGTTGTAGTTGCTGGGATTTATAGTTCACCTCCTACAATCAAAGACCATTCTGAACTCGACCAATGATGGAATTGAACCAATCTTGGCATACAGAACTCCCATGAACAACAGAAAATGCTGGAATGGTTTGATGGGCATTGGTCTTGAGTTTGGGAGTTGTAGTTCACCTCCATCCAGAGAGCACTGTGGATGCAAGCAAGGGTGGATCTGGACCAAATTTGGCACAAATACTCAATATACCCAAACGTGAACACTGGTGGAGTTTGAGGAAAATAAACCTTGACATTTGGGAGTTGTAGTYGCTGGGATTTGTAGTTCACCTACAATCAAAGAGCATTCTGAACCCCACCAATGATAGAATTGGGCCAAACTTTCCACAAAGAACCCCCATGACCAACAGAATAAATAAAAATACTGTGTTTTCTAATGGTCTTTGGTGACCCCTCTGAGATCTCCTCGTGACCCCCCCCCCSGGGTCCCGACCYCCARGTTGAGAAACACTGGTTTAGGGCTTCGCCCACATCTATAGCAGGCATCCTCAGAGGTTGTGAGGTCTACAAATCAGTCTGAGGAGCAGCTTAGAGTGATACATATAATTAGCTTGTAGAATAGAAGGTTGGGAGGGGAACATGATAAATATTGGAAAGGAGGTCCCAAGGTTGTTTTCTGCTGCTCCGGTGACTGGAACCCACTGGAGCCATGGATTAAAATTACAAGAGGGAAAGATTCCGCCTAAACATTAGGAAGATCTAGATCTAGGGAAGTCATGCTCCCCATGCTCTATTCCGCTTTGGTTAGACCATACCTGGAATATTGTGTCCAATTCTGGGCACCACAATTCAAGAGAGATATTGACAAGCTGGAATGTGTCCAGAGGAGGGCGACTAAAATGATCAAGAGTCTGGAGAACAAGCCCTATGAGGAGCAGCTTAAGGAGCTGGGCATGTTTAGCCTGAAGAAGAGAAGGCTGAGAGGAGATATGATAGCCATGTATAAATATGTGAGAGGAAGCCACAGGGAGGAGGGAGCAAGCTTGTTTTCTGCTCCTTGGAGACTAGGACGTGGAACAATGGCTTCAAACTACAAGAGAGGAGATTCCATCTGAACATGAGGAAGAACTTCCTGACTGTGAGAGCCGTTCAGCAGTGGAACTCTCTGCCCCGGAGTGTGGTGGAGGCTCCTTCTTTGGAAGCTTTTAAACAGAGGCTGGTTGGCCATCTGTCAGGGGTGATTTGAATGCAATATTCCTGCTTCTTGGCAGGGGGTTGGACTGGATGGCCCACGAGGTCTCTTCCAACTCTTTGTTTCTATGATTCTAAGAAGGGTGGTTTGAATTTGGAATCTGCTACTGCCATGGAGTCTCCTTCTCCAGTGATTTTTAAGCCGAATCTGGATGGGCTTGGACTGTGCCTTCCTGCCTGGCAGAAAGGGGTAGGACTGGATAGCCTTAGGGGGTCCCTTTCAGTGCTAAGATTCCATGATCCAATCCCCCTGTGTTTTGCCTGCAGGAGGAATATATCCGTGAGCACCTGGAGTGGAGAGAGATCCTCTTCAACGACAACCAGCCCTGCATCGACCTCATCGCTCAGAAGCCGTATGGGATTTTGAAGATCCTGGACGACCAAAGCAGTTTCCCTCAGGTGGCTCTTCTGGGCGGGCAGCTTATTTGCACACTTCATCCCCATCTACACTGCTACTAAAATCTATATTATCTGCTTTGAACTGGATTATCTGCAGTGTGGACTCATATAATCCAGTTCAAGGCAGATAATGTGGATTATCTGTTTTGATAATCTGGATTATATGGCAGTGTAGAAGGAGCCTTATATCAGTGCAATTTGCTGGCTAACTTGCTTCTTATCATTCAATTAACTGACTTCCGACACAGTTGTTTACTATGCTGTTTTATGTTGTTGATTTTGTTATTTTATATTTTGTTTTTGTGTGTTTATTATGTTGTATTATTTTGGGCGTGGCCTCATTTTAGCCACCCTGAGTCCCCTTTGGGGAGATGGTGGTGGGTTATAAATAAAGTGTATTATTATTATTATTATTATTATTATTATTATTATTATTATTATTTCTGCTTCAGAGTGGTCCCTGATCAAAGTGGTCCCTGGTCAAAAAAAGGTTGGGAACCTTTTTGTTGATTGTAAATTGCATTGACTGCATTATTGAATTTTTCTCCCATGTCCAGTTCTTGTATTAATATCTTAAAGAAATCCCAATTCAAATTATCAAACGCTTTTTCAGTGTCTATTGATAAAACCACTGCATTAGAAGTAATTTCTGAGAGCTGTCCAACAGTGGACCTTTCTGCCTCGGAGTCCGGTGGTAACTCCTTCCTTGGAGGCTTTTCAACAGAGACTGGATGGTCATCTGTTGGGGGTGCTTTGATTGTGCTTTTCCTGCATGGCAGGGGGTTGGACTAGATGGCCCATGTGGTCTCTTCCAACTCTGTTATTCTCTGAGTCTATGACCTGGGTCTTCCTTCCTTTCTCCCTCCTTCCAGGCAACGGACCACACTTTTCTCCAGAAGTGTCACTACCACCATGGCTCCAACATACTCTATTCCAAGCCAAAGATGCCCCTTCCAGAGTTCTCCATCCGGCACTATGCAGGAAAGGTCACCTACCAGGTGAGGACCTAGATATTTGGGAAGGGATAGACCTCACGGAGGAGGCCTGTGGTCTGTCACTTGGTAGAAACAGAGTCAGATGGCGTTGGCCCCTACTTTGACTTGGAAGTCTTGGAGGAGATGCTGAGAAGGTACCCTTGGATTATTTGATATTGGAAGAACATATGGGATGCATCACAGTATGGATGAGGCATGGGCCAACTTTGGCCCTCCAGGTGTTTTGGACTTCAACTCTCACAATTCCTAACAGCCAGTAGGCTGTTAGGAATTGTGGGAGTTGAAGTCCAAAACACCTGGAGGGCCAAAGTTGGCCCATACTTGCTATAGGACCTTGTTTTACCCATTCAATAAATGGCCATTGTTTAGGTATTTTTCATGGTCTTCTATAAGATATTCCTGATCCTTCCTGTTTACTATCAAGATTCAATTGTCACTTTGGCAGAAGCCATTCATTTCAATAGGGTTACTATCATCCATGGTAAGTTCAAGAAGTTATTCCCAATGGATGTGAGGTTTTTACTGTCTATGTCCGTTTCCGTCCTTCCGATTGACTGGATCTGAGTGTTCAAAACCAATTAATACAATACAATATAGCAATTACTAGGTTGCCCCTAGATTATTTTTTGTGGGGTACACCAGACTAACATGACTTCCATCCTGAAAACGCAATCAAAATACACATTGTCAGGTTGAGAAGCTGCAATTCCCCATCCGACCTGTAACGGGGTGGCGCTAGAGAGCAACCTTAGTCAGGTGACCCCTTTTGGTTTGAGGCAGTATGTGGAGTTCCTATATTGTATTTTTTTGGTACATAACATAGGTCTGGCCTTTCTCACCCCTTCCTTCTCGGCAGGTCCATAAATTCCTGGACAAAAACTATGACCAGGTTCGCCAAGACGTCCTGGACCTTTTCGTCAACAGCAAAACCAAAGTAGGTCCACACTTTGTTGGATTTCCAAACTACAGTGTCCCAGGATCCTGGTGTATTGAGCCGTGGCAGATAAGAATGACCTCAAACTGTATTCAATCTACAGTGTAGATACAGACAGTCCCTGAGTTACAAACATCTGACTTACAAATGATCCATAGTTAAGAACGGGGGTGAGACAACAGGAAGTGAGAGAAATCTGCTCCATGGAAGGGAAATTCGTTCCTGAAAAGGTTATCATGAGTAAACGGTATCTTCGCTAAAGTTGTATCACCAATCCTTGTTTCCACAACAAGCCACATTTTTCAAAATCAATGATCACAGGAACAGAAAGTGGGGTGAAATCTTCTGAACAGAGTCACAGGCAGCAAAACAAATGTCAGAGGGAGGTCATCTCTTCCCTATGCTATCCAAAGCTTGCATGGATAGATAGATAGATAGATAGATAGATAGATAGATAGATAGATAGATAGATAGATAGATAGACAGACAGACAGACAGACAGACAGACAGACAGACAGACAGACAGACAGACAATAGATAGATAGATAGATAGATAGATAGATAGATAGATAGATAGATACATAGATAGATAGGCCAGGCTTTAGTACAACAGGTTAATCACCAAGCTGAAACAAATCTTCCCAACCACAAGTTCGAAGCCTGGGTCAGGGTGAGCTCAAGCCCAGCTTCTGGCTACCTAGCAATTCGTAAACAAATGTGAGTAGATAAATAGAAACCGCATTAAAGCGATAAGGTATTTAGGCATGGCGTTTCATTGCCAACCGCAAGGTTGACAGTTCAAAGCCCGGGTCAGGGTGAGCTCCTGATCTTTAGCCCAGCTTCTGCCTACCTAGCAATTTGAAAACAAATGTGAGAAGATAAATAGGAACCGAATTAAAGCGAGGAGGTATTTAGGCATGGTGCTTCGATCAGAAAAAGGAGGAAACTTTCAAATAAAGAAAGCTCTTCAGGGAAATAGAGCAACAGTACCCCCCAGTGGCCAGAACTGAGCACAGCTTCCAAAGATGCCGAAAGATGCAGAAAGATATACTTCTATCTGTTGTCTGTCTAGGAACCCCCAGTGGTGCAGTGGGTTAAACCACTGAGCTGCTGAACTTGCTTACTGAAAGGTTGCAGGTTCGAATCCGGGGAGAGTCATGAGCTCCCACTGTTAGCCCCAGCTTCTGCCAACCTAGTAGTTCGAAAACATGCAAATGTGAGTAGATCAATAGGTACTGCTCTGGTGCTCCATGAAGTCATGCCACATGACCTAGAAGATGTCTACGGACAACGCTGGCTATTCAACTTAGAAATGGAGATGAGCACCAACCCCCAGAGTCGTACACGACTAGACTTAGTGTCAAGGGAAATCCTTTACCTTTGTCTGTCTTGTCATTGTATAATCGGCATTGAATGTTTGTCGTATATTTATTTATTTATTTCTGGTATTTCTTCCCCATCTCTTCTCTACCCCCAAAGGGGGACTCAGGACGGCTTACATTAGGCAACGATTCGATGCCGCTTCATATAAAAAATTAAAATAATACAACACAATTAAAATACATAAAGCATTAATTAAAACAGTACATAAACATTAATTAAAACAATAATACAATATCATCAGCTGTATCATCGTCAATCCAATCAATTTGCAACCAAAGTGCTAATTAAGTCTGCTATCCGAAAGCCTGGTCCCACAACCACGATTTCACTTTCTTCCTGAAATCCAGGAGAGATGAAGCTGATCTTATCTCCTCCTAGGGTTAATCTAGGTCAAACTTTCTTAAACTGTGGGTTGACCACATTTGGGGTCATTCAAGTGAACGTGGAGGATCACAAAACATTTGCATTGCTTGCCATCTAGTATGATCTAAGAGGGTATGGTCATAGAGGGTATGGTCTAAACAAGCTTCTTCAGCTAGACCAGAGGTTCTCAACCTGTGAGTCCCCAGATGTTTTGGCCTTCAACTCCCAGAAAACAGCTGGTAAACTGGCTGGGATTTCTGGGAATTGTAGGCCAAAGCACCTGGGGACCCAAAGGTTGAGAACCACTGGGCTAGACCTTGAGGACATTTTCTCACCTTCCTCCTTGGTCAGCATCTGGTAAAGTAGCTCCTATCTTGCAGGGCAGTTTTGTGTTAGAAGAAAGATGTGCATGTCTGGGCTCCATGGGGGGTATCTGGCTTTCCTTTAACCTGTACTTTGCCCCTCCTTGGCTTAGATGGTGGCCAACCTGTTCTTCAGCCATGCTCAAGTGGTGGCTCAACAAAAGACCATCATGGGAAGGAACAGCACCGGAAGAAGGAAATACAAGCCCCAGACGGTGGCGGCCAAGTTCCAGCAATCACTTTTGGACCTGGTTGATAAAATGGAGAGGTGTGTGTCCATGTTGGGATGGAAAGAATATTTGCCAAGTGTGGGATCCAACTACATCATTTTGACAGTGTTTCTGACGAGGTGGGATAGGTGTGTGATTTGTAGATTTCCTTCCAATCTGTCATGATGCCAGGGCACTGCCGTTACTCAGGCAGAGGTGAATCAAACAATCACCCAGTTGTTTTAATAGTCCAAAACATAAAGATAGCACTCAGCCACAGAATATAAAACAAAACTGACAGCAAACACTGTTGCAGGTTCAAGATAACACCGTTGTTCCGTCTCCCAGGAGACTGGTTTGCATTGCTCTTTTAGTTGCTTGGAGTGGCTGCCCCTTGCCTTTCTCCCAGGAGCTGCTGCAGCCTTGCAAAGCCTGGAGTTTAACAGCCAAAGGTGGGAAAAGCCAGTCTGCAAACTCTTTGCAATGATTGGCCTAGGGAGCAGCTCTTTGAGCCCGCCCCTTCTCCCGGGGAAAGACTTCCATTTTGGAGTCCTCCCTACCTGTTCAGTTTTGAAGAAGGAATCTGATGTGCTGGTGGCCAGACAGGTAGTTCCGACAAACCACTGTAAAAACAATTGAGTTATAGACATTGAGAACAATTGAGAAATTAAGATGGACAAAGAAGTTTATTGAGAAGAATTGAGCTATAGTTAGATAGATTATAAGAGAGTTATAGAGTATAAAGAAAAATAGATATTGAGCTTAGAGAATTGAGTTTTATAGAGTCTTACAAAGAGAGAGACTGCATTGCCTTATCTCCAAGGCTAATCTGGAGCTTAGATAGATAGGGAAAGATTTGTTCTTTCTAAAAGACAACAACTCTGGATTAGGGTGAAGGATCCCTGGACCCCTTTGCCACTTGGGGAAAGGCTGACTCAGTAACGGGTGGAGAAGAGAAAGAAGAAACATCTATTTGGTTTGTTTACAACTTTGAGAAATAAATATCCTTTTTTGATGTTCAGAACTTGTAATAGACTCAATTGCTGAGAATCTCAATCTTCTCAAGAAAAGCACCGGCAGTTCGCCCAGACATAGGGAACAGCACATCATAGTTTTGTTTTTAGAAGCGTCTGGGTGTAACGGCACAACCGTAGTCAAAAGGTCCAGTACAGTAGTAAAATGCCAATAATTCAATGAGCAAAGTCCAGGGATAAAGAGTCTATTCCGTAGTCAAAAGCCAGTCCAGAGATTCAAAGTTCCAGGGTTCCAAGAGTACAGGAGACAGGTCAGGCTACCGAAAATCCACAAACCTGGGGGAAACCAGCAGCATCTACCACCAAAATAAGACAATTACTTTTCTCCCAAAGCTAGCTCCTTATATCCAGAAACATCCAGCTGCAACCTATCTCTTGCATATCTCCACCTTTAATTGCTTTCACCCATGAACTCTTACTTACAGATTACTCAACCTGTGGGTCCCCAGATGTTTTGGCCTTCAACTCCCAGAAATCCTAACAGCTGGTAAACTGGTTGGGATTTATGGGAGTTGTAGGCCAAAACACCTGGGGACCCACAGGTTGAGAACCACTGCTTTAGAACTAAGATTTACATTAACCCTTCCATCACCAACTACTAGTCCTACCAACACCAACCACCATCAACTGCAGAACATGATACATGACACAATCACACCCTCCCTAGATACGATGGTCTATATACAAAATATATAAAATATACACACTGATCAGAATCTCCTGATTCCCTATCAGTCAGTGGCGTATACAACAATATACTCACGATGAGCAACAGGTAAGAGACGTATGGCACGATGGCAAGACAAGAAGACTCTTGGCAAGAGAAAAAACACTCAAGCTTCCTGCCCTCTTTTATGCCCACTGCTTGCTCATTATCGGCCAGGGACAAAAGTGAATGGTGCAACCCTCATCATGAATGTCACATGTTTGTGACTCAGCCTTTTCCAGCCTATCCCCTAAGTTACACAACACCACCTCCTTAATCATGCAGCAGGTGTGTGACCACATGTCCATTAGAATTGTATTTTTACACCAATTTAAAGTAATGGGGTTACAGTCAATGCATTCCTGTCTAACACTCCATTATCTATCTAACGGTTTCCAGTTCTCTCAAGTCCCAGTTTGGGGAGGAAGGTGAGGATTCTTTAATCCCAATAAATCAACAATTTTTCTCATTTCTCCGCAGGTGTAACCCTTTCTTCGTCCGCTGCCTCAAGCCCAATGATAAAAAGGTACTGCTTTTTTGCACCATTCTCTTGGCAATAACAATTCTAAATGGAGTTTGCAGCAATTGAAGTAAGCTGAGGATGAAGGAAGGCGAGGGAAGAGAATCTGGGCGTTTTTAAAGCATCTGGGGAAAGTGGGAAGGCAGAGGATTATTTGGTTTCCGTCCCTGAAATGGTGGAAGGTATACCAAATTGCCACCCACTGAACAGCTCTCCTTTGGGGTTTTTTTTTTCCTTATCCAGGAGCCAGGACTTTTTGAGTCGGACGTCGTCAGCAGCCAATTGCGGCACTCGGGCATCCTGGAGACCATCCGGATCCGGAAATTGGGATTTCCAGTGCGCATTCCTTTCCAGATCTTCATTGAGAGGTATAACAATGATTCTGGAGCAGGAAAATAAGAAGGTTGGAGGGGTCTGCATTTAAATGACAAAGTGTGACCTGACCAGGTTAAGTCTGTTGTTAAGCCCAGCTTTGCCCAAACTAAATCCAATGTTAAGACTAATTTTGTCTGAATTAAATCTAACTTTGAGCTAAATCTAATACTATTCAACTTTGTCTGACTTAAGTCCAATATTAAGCTCATATTTTCTGAACCAGATCCAATGTTAAACCCAACTTTGAGCTAAATCCAATAATAATCTCAACTTTGAGCTAAACCCAATGTTTAAACCAACTTTGTCTAAACTAAAGCTAACTTTGAGCTAAATCTAATGCTATCCAACTTCGTCTAAGTTAAGTCCAATATTAAGCTCATACTTTTCTGAACTAAATCCAATTTTAAGCCCAATGTTGAGGTAAATCCAATATTAATCTCAACTTTGAACTAAATCCAATGTCAAAACCAACTTTGCCTGAACTAAATCTAACTTTGAGCTAAATCTAATGCCATCCAACTTTCTCTGAATTAAGTCCAATATTAAGCTCATCTTTGTCTGAACTAAACCCAACTTTAAGCCCAACTTTGAGCTAAATCCAATATTAAGGTCAACTTTGACATAAATCCAATGTGAAGACCAACTTTGCCTGAACTAAATCCAACTTTGAGCTAAATCTAATGCTAGCCAACTTTGCCTGACTTAAGTCCGATATTAAGCTCATATTTTCTGAACTAAACCCAACATTAAGCCCAACGTTGAGGTACATCCAATATTAATCTCAGGTTCGAGCTGAAGCCAATGTTAAGATCAACTTTGTCTAAAGTGAAGCTAACTTTGAGCTAAATCTAATGCTATCCATCTTTGTCTGAGTTAAGTCCAATATTCAGCTCATCTTTTTGTGAACTAAACCCAACATTAAGCCCAACTTTGAGCTAAATCCAATATTAAACTCAACTTTGAGCTAAATCCAATATTAAGACCAACTTTGTCTGTGTTAAGTTCAATATTAGGCTCATCTTTTTCTGAATTAAATCCAACGTTAAGCCCAACTTTGAGCAAACCCAACATTAAACTCAACTTCAACCTGAATCTAATGTTAAAACCAACTTTGAGCTAAGTCCAATATTAAGACCAACTTTGTCTGAGCTAAGTTCAATATTAAGCTCATCTTCTTCTGAATTAAATCCAACGTTAAGCCCAACTTTGAGCTAAATCCAATGTTAAGCTCAACTTCGAGCTAAATCTAATGTTTAGACCAAATTCGAGATAAGTCCAATATTAAGCCAACTTTGTCTGAGCTAAGTTCAATATTATACTCAGCCTTGCCCAAGTTAAATCCAACATTAAGCTCAGCTTTTCTCAAGCTAAGTCCAAAGTTAAGCCCAGCTTTGCCTGAGGTAAGGATTCTAGCATTTCTGGGTCCTTCTATAGAAGTCTATGGCCAACGTCCAGCCAAAGTTTACCATAAAATGAAGATGGAGGTCCAAACTCAGGCTGCCTCATGGCAGGAGACCCCCTCTGTGTCCCTCCAGGTACCGCTGTCTTGTGGACATCAAGTCCGGCATGGTCCCCGACGGGTGGAACTGTGTTGGGGTCCTGAAGAAGCTGTGTGCTGTCACCCCAGATATGTACAGCATTGGGACCACCAAGGTAAGACAGACCCATCTTCCTGGGGTTGTGGGGGACCATTCCTTGGGCTTGCTGTAATGGCTGATTTCATGGGTTCTTCACCTTCCTGTTGAATATACAGTAGTCCTCTTGCTCCCCTCATCTCATCTCAGTCCATCCAGACCCCAAGAAGAGAACCTTCTCACCACCTTCCCTACTCTCTTTCCTCTCTTCTACCCCTTCCTTCCTTCTTCRTCTCCCCTTTCTTTTTTGTTCTTCTCTTCATCTGCCCTTCTCTTTTTTTCTCCTCTTTCTTTACCTTTTAATCTTCTTTTACTCTTTTTCATCTGCCTTCCCTTCTGTCTCCTCATCTTCCTTCTTCTCTGCTTCCCTCCCTTTCTCCTCTTCCTTGTCCTCCATCACCTTATTTTCTCCTTCCCTTCCTCCTCCTCCTTTCTTCTTGTTATTGTTCTTCCATTCTCCATCTTTTCTCCTCCACAACCTTTGTATCTTCTCCTATTCCTCCTCCTTCTAGTTCTCCTTCACTTTTTATTTTCTTAATTTTCCCTTCCTCTTCCACCACCTTCTTCCTCTTTTCCTTCTTCTTCTCTTCCTCATCCTTCCTTCTCCTTCCCCTTTTTTGTATTCTTCTCCTCCTTTCTTCCTCCTCTTCTTTTCCTCAATCTACATGTTCGTCTCCTCCTTCTCCCTTTTCTTCTTCTTCCCCTCACCTTGTTGTCTTCTTCTTCTTTCACCCCCTCCTCTTCTTCATTCTCCTCTTCTTCTTTCTCCTTTTCTTCTTTTTTCTCCTCTTCTTCTTCTCCCCCCTTTCACCTTTCACCCTTCTCCTCCTCTTCTCTTCTTCTTCTTCTTCTTCTTCTTCTTCTTCTTCTTCTTCTTCTTCTTCAATGTCAAAAAAAGCCTATGGGATCTATTATCTAGATCCAGGATAGTCATGCTACCCCTCTATTCCACACTGTGTCCAATTCTGGGCACCACAATTGAAGGGAGATGTTGACTCTAAGCTGGAATGTGTCCAGAGGAGGGTGACTCAAAGGATCAAGGTTGCGGAGAACAAGCCCTGTGAGGAGCGGTTTCAAGAGCTGGGCATGTTTAGCCTGAAGAAGAGAAGGCTGAGAGGAGACATGATGAGGGCCATGGATCAAGATGGGAGGAGAAGTCATAGGGAGGAGGGAGGAGGCTTGTTTTCTGCTGCCCTGGAGACTAGGACGCAATGGAGCAATGGCTTCAAACTACAGGAAAGAAAGGAGATTCCACCTGAACTTCAGGAAGAACTTCCTGACTGTGAGAGCTGTTCAGCAGTGGAACTCACTGCCCCGGAGTGTGGTGGAGGCTCCTTCTTTGGAGGCTTTTAAGCAGAGGGTGGATGGCCATTCATCAGGGGTGCTTTGAATGCAATTGTCCTGCTTCTGGGCAGAATGGGATTGGACTGGATGGCCCACGAGATCTCTTCCAACTCTAGGGTTCTATGATTCTCCTCCTACTTTCTCCTTTTCCACGTTCAAGAGTTGGCCGTTGCCTACAGGTCTTCTGTGGACCAAGGTAGTTGGAGGGATGTCCTTGTTCCTTCTCCCCCTCTGTTCCATCCAGCTCTTCATGAAGGAGTGCGTCTACCAGGAGCTGGAGGTCAAGCGTGAGCGCATCGTCCAAATGGCCGTCGTGACGCTGCAGCGCTACATCCGGGGCTTCCTGATCAAGAAGCGCTTCTACACCCTTCGACATAGGATTATCATGCTTCAGACCCGGGCCCGGGGCTACCTGGTCAGGTGCTGAGATGACTCTTGTTCAACGCCTATTAGTATTATTATTATGAAAAATGGGTGGTGGGACAGGGTGAGCCTCGGTTATCGCCACTCACCATCCCATCATCCCCGCCAATGCCATAGCAATACCCGATGTAGCAAATGCAGCATTAGCTAGAGCTTAGGAGAGTTACTATGTGGACCACAGCTCCTTCCTCTCCGCATGAAAGTTACTTTCTGGAATACAGACCTCATCATCCATTGACAGCACAGTCACTGCTTGGGGCAGGACTCCAGCTCCCATCATTCTCAAGGAGGACAGGGACTGTAGTCTCCATCATGGTTCTGAAACTGGGAGCATACTTCCTTCATCCCCATAGTTAAGAGAAAGTTACTTTTGGGAGGATGACTACAAATCCCATCATCCCTTGCCATCGCAGTCTTTGGTAAAGGCTAGGACTCCAACACCCATCATCCCCCAGGGTTTGTAATTGCAATCATTGTGCTGAGAAAAGGAGTCCTGACTCTAGTTGGACTATAGTTCCTACTTTTTTGGGGGGGAGGATTACAAATCCCATCCTCCCATGCCATCACAGTCATCTGTTAAGGTTAGGATTCCAACACTCATTATCCCCCACGGTTTGTAATGCAATAATTGTGCTGAGAAAAGGAGTCTTGACTCTAGTTGGACTACAGTTCCTACTTTTGGGGGGGAGGATTACAAATCCCATCATCCCTTGCCATCACAGTTATCGGTTAAGGCTGGGACTCCAACACTCATTATCCCCCAGGGTTTGTAATGCAATCATAGTGCTGAGAAAAGGAGTCTTGCCTCTGGTTGGACTACAGTTCCTACATTGGGGGGGGAGGATTCCAAATCCCATCATCCCTTGCCATCACAGTTATCAGTTAAGGCTGGGACTCCAACGCCCATCATCCCCCAGGGTTTGTAATTGCAATCATTGTGCTGAGAAAAGGAGTTTTGACTCTGGTTGGACTACAGTTCCTACTTTTGGGGGAAGGATTACAAATCCCATCCTCCCTTGCCATCACAGTCATCAGTTAAGGCTGGGACTCCAACACCCATCATCCCCCAGGGTTTGTAATCGCAGTCATTGTGCTGAGAAAAGGAGTCTTGACTCTGGTTGGTTCCTATCCTCCCTTACCACCAGGGATGATGGGAGTTGCAGTCCAAATGACATTAGATGCCCATCGCTGGCCAGTCTCAAAAGCCAAGTGTCATTTTTCTTTTCTTTTTTGGTCTCTTGTGCCGTCCTTGGTCTGCTTTGGTGGGTTATGGTCTCTTGTTCTGGTTTCTCGCCCTTGGGTAGGAGAAAGTGTTGTTGAGGCTTGGGGTGACCTTTCCCACCTCCGTCCCGCCCTGCAGGCAAAGGTTTCGGAGGCTGCGCCGGACGCTCCTCAGGGTCAGGTGCCTGGTGCACATCTACGTCAACCGCCGGAGGTACCTCAAGGTGAGTCTGGCCGCTGGGGAGGCGGGGCAACAGAGGGACAAAGGGTGGACCGTGGAAGGGATCCCAAGGGCCATCTAGTCTGGCCCCCTCCTGCCAAGGAGGAAGACACCATCCAATCCTTCTTGACAAATGGCCACTCATTCTCAGAATCATAGATTTAGAAGGGACCCTCAAAGGCCACTCAGTCCAATCCCTTTTGCCACGTAGGAAGGCACAATCCAATCCCTCCTGACAGATGGCCATTCAGTCTCAGAATCATTTGGAAGGGACCCAGTCCAACTCCTTTTGCCAGTTAGGAAGACACAATCTGATCCCTCTTGACAGATGGCCATTCAGCCTCAGAATCATAGATTTGGAAGAGGCCCCCAAAGGCCATCCAGTCCAACCCCTTCTGCCAGGTAGGAAGGCACAATCTGATCCCTCCTGACAGATGGCCATTCAGTCTAATAGAGTTGTAAGGGACTCCAATGGCCATCCAGTCCAACCCCTTTCACCAGGTAGGAAGGCACCATCCGATCCCTCTTGACAGATGGCCATTCAGTCTCATAGAATCATATAGTTGAAAGGGACTCCCAAGGAAGGATAGCCACTCAGTCTCAAAATCATAGCTTTGGAAGGGACCCATCCAGTCCAACCCCTTTCACCAGGTGGGAAGGCGCAATCCGAACCCTCCTGACAAATGGTCATTCAGATTCATAGATTTTGAAAGGACCCAGTGCAACTCACCTTTGCCAGGTAGGAAGGCACCATCCAATCCCTCCTGACAGATGGCCATTCAGTCTCATAGAGTTGTAAGGGACTCCAATGGCCATTCAGTCCAACCCCTCTCACCAGGTAGGAAGGCACCATCCAATCCCTCTTGACAGATGGCTATTTAGACTCATAGAATCATATAGTTGAAAGGGACTCTCAAGGGCCTTCTAGTCCAGCCCTCTCCTGCTAGGAAGGAAGGCACAATCCAAGCCCTCTCAACAGATGGCCATTCCACCTCAGTTGGAAGGGATCCCCAAAGGCACAGTCCAATCCCTCCTGACAGATGGCCATTCAGTCTCATAGAGTTGTAAGGGACCTCCAAGGGCCATCAGTCCAACCCTTTTTGCCAGGTAAGAAGGCACAATCCTATCCCTCCTGGCAGGCAGGAAGGCACAAGCAAAGCCCTCCTGACAGGGGACCATCCAGACTCTGCTTAAAAACCTCCAAAGAATGAAACTCCACCAGATTCCCAGGTGGTACTCTTCTTCCTAATGTTTAGAGATTGAGTCTCTTTTCCTTCCATTTGACTCTGTTGTTCCATGGAGTCCTATTAGTCTCCAAAGTAGTAGAAGACAAGCTTGCTCCTTTCTCCTCAATAGGACATCCTTCCAAATATTGAAACGGGGCACTCATCTCCTTTCTTCTCAGCCTCCTCTTCTCCAAGCTAAACATCTCCAATTCCTTCAGCCAATCCTCAGAGGGATTCATAGTGTCAGACCTTGGTTGTCCTTCTATGGACCCCTTCTATCTTGTCCATGTCTTCTTTGAATTGTGGGACGCAGAGCTGGACATGAGGTCATTCCAGGTAAAGTCTGACCAAAGTCCAATTGAGTCTCAATCCCAGCCTTGGGAGAAGGAGGAGAGGGAAGAATCTCAGAGTGAGAGCGGTGCCTTCAGAAATCCATGCAAAGATGAAACCCAGTTAAGGCAGACCCATGCATTCAGTCACTGGATAGTGAGTTGATCCATTGGTAAATCCATTTGATTTAGGAGCTCTACTCTAGAGTAATAATAGGGTGTGTTTGTTTTGCACTCGGGTGGCATATTCGGTGCCGATGACTCAGGGCTGGCACTTTATGACATCACCTGCCACCTGTGGCCTCACCCCAAAGATCTCGCAGTGACATCATTCAGGGGGGTTCATGCTGAGGTCTCAGATTTGGTCCCCTGAAATCCTTACATTGTAGAATGAATGCACTTTGGCACCTCTTGAGCTCCCATGGCTCTGTACAATGGAATGGTGGGCTTTGTAGTTTGGCAAAGGTCCTCCCTCCAACATCTTTGTGTCCAAAGAGTGCTGGTGCCTCGCCAAACTACAAATCCCAGTTCAAACTTAAACAGAGGCATCATTAGACAGTCTCAATGGAGTGGCCATAGCATTTCCGCCTGCAAAACGGAGAGTGCAAACTAAAAGCTTTGGATGATGGGATCTATGGAGAATGATTGAGAATGAAAGATAAAAAGCAGCTTTATTGTGAGGCAAAAGAGTCCTGTGTGCTCCCTCCCTGCTTTTCTGCCATTCTTATGGATGGCACTCACTAAGGATGGGCCATTGTCTGGATCCTCTTTGAGCTCACAAAAGCCATTTGTCTGGCTCAAAGAATGGGCCCATAACCTGCCTTACCTGTCTGGTAGGTGAGGCGAAGCATCCTGCCGTGTCCACGCCACCCCTTTGGCTTCGGGAAGGCTGCCTCCGCACGCCAAGAACCCCATTTGGGGAACTTCTTCGTGGTGGTGTTTCCCTCACGGCCTCGCCGGACAGAGCTCCCTTGACTTGTTGGTTTGAGAAGAGCCTCAATTGGAAAAGATGGCGGAAAGACTGAGGGATGGGACGGAAAGGTCATGTTGGGACACCCTGCCATGTCCCTCTATTACCAAATGACCCCAAAGCCTCTAGAGTACCTTGGATCCAATCAAACACTGCAAGCAAGAAGATCGTTCAACAGGTTTATTTGATCAAATCACCCTGCCGGGTGAACAGAGGAAAGTGCCACACAAAACTGCGACGCAGCTCAGCATTCCTGCGCTGCTTTTCCTCAGCAGCCAATCCTCACTCCTGCGTCTCCCCCTCCTGTGTCTGCTTGTTCCTTTTTGAACTTTCCCTTTGTCTGAACTCTCTGCCTTGGCTGGTAATTTTCCACTACTATCTCAGCCCTAGTCCCTTCAGTATGGATAGAAGAGAAGCAAAGGGAAATATTTTGCACTCTAGTATCTGAATAGTGCAGAAATCCCTAAATTTCCGGATCTTCCCCATGCATGACTCCGAAGAAGTCAAGCAGATTTGTGGACAAATCCATCCAGATCCTTGAAGAAATGCACCCTATCCATGGAAAAAATGAGCCACATCCATGGATGCATGGATACATCCATCAAAGCCATCATCCTCATGGACAACTCCACCAGATCCATGGACAAATATGGGCAGCAGCATCAGATCCATAGACAAATGCACCATATCCATGGACAAATCAGCCATATTTGTAGATAAATCCATCCGATCTATGGGCAAATCCACCATATCCATGGACAAATATACTATATTCATGGACAAACCACCAATATCCATGGACAAATGCACCAGATCCATGGATAAAACCATCATACCCATGGAGAGATCCAAATATCCCCATCTTCCTCCTCTTTGGATCCTTTTCCCACGGAAAATCCCTTGCATATGTCTTATCACCCTCCCATACTCTTTGGAAACTCCTGTGTCCTTTGTTCCTGACAATAAAAACATTTTTTAATAGAAAGACTTGCTTTCATGCAGGGATGTGTCCAAAGGTCTGGGAGGGGAAGACAAGAGGATGCATCCACACTGTGGAATTAATGCAGTTTGGCCCCACTTGGACTGCCATGTCTCAGGAATCGGTAGTTTGGTGAGGCACCAGCACTCTTTGGCTTGAGACCTTGTGAAACTATAACTCTCACGATTCCATAGCATTGAGCCAAGGCAGTTAAAGCAGTGTCAATCTGCATTAATTCAACATTGTGGATGCACCCAGAGATATGGAACGGATTTGGAGGGAAAACAGAGGTCATGGAGGGTGGATGTTGGAGGGTGACGTGGTGTCCAGAGCTTGGGAATGTTACTTTGGTGGACTATATCTCCCAGAATTACCTAATGTGGCTATGTCGGCATGTGGCTATGTCAGAAGGAAGATTGTGGAAGCTCTATAGTTAGCATTATAGCAATGTGGGTATCTCCAAAATAAGAATTCTTTCCCTCCATGACATTGCTTCAGTGCTCCAATTTCTAGCATTGCAAACATCATTTTAGAAATGCAGTTCCAGTGCCCTGAACAAAGGGAATTAAAGTGACCTGGGGTGCATCTACACTGTAGAATTAATGCAGTTTGGCACCCCTTTTATCTGCCATGGGATCTTGGGAGTTGTAGTGTGTACTCTTGGGCAGAGAAGGCTCAAGACCTTGTCAAACGACAACTCCCAGGACCCCATAGCATTGCGCCAGGACAGTTAAAGGGGAGTCAAACTGAATTAGTTCTACAGTGTAGATGCACCCTCAATGAATGGGACAAACTTTCCATGTAATGTCTAAGTGGGTTATTTAAGAGGAGTCAATCAAGCTTTACTTTTTGGAATGTTTTGCACCCAATTACTTTCAAACCCTGATTGGCGGGATCCGTGGATATAGAACCCGTGGATAGCGAGAACCAGCTAGAATAATCCTAGAACACTTTTGGCAGCCGCAGATAGAGTAGATGCATTGGAACGATGCAATTTGCGTAAGTAAGTCATTTGAAATATCTGCAGATTAAAAATAATTGAAACAGGCATTGAGCAGTTAAAGGGATATCAAACTGCATTCATTCTACAGTCTCCAGATGGTGGATTCCAGGAGTGCATCCACACTGTAGAATGAATGCAGTTTGACCCCACTTGAACTGCTGTGGCCCATAGGAGTTGTAGTTTCACAAGGTCTGGCGCCTTCTCTGCCCGAGGGTTCCAAACTACAACTCTCAGGACCCCATAGTGGTGCCAAACTGCATTCATTCCCCAATGTAGAGAAGTGTTCGACTCACTGAGTGAAATCACACACTCTCAGCTTCAGAGGAAAGCAGAGGCAGATCTCCTTGGAATAATCCCTTGCCAAGTGAAACCTTACAATGGGATCAATGGAAAGGCCCAGCCGAGCAACACAGCTGAAGGCAAGGGTTAAAGAGTGACTCATGCGGCACCAAAAAGCAAACACCAGCAAGTGGAGCCTCTGCCGGGCTTTCTGCTTGGCACAAAACATCCAGGGGACTGGTGGCAACCATGAAGAGCGTCCGTTTCCAAGTGGATGCTGCAGATGAGGTTTGCAAGGGATATCTTGAGGGTATATAGAGGATAACCCAGACCTACTGTGAGGAGGGCTTTGCTATCCCCAGTTGGGAGTTGGGCAGGTGCTTGTTCATTGGGTTCCAAGACTTTCCTGACCCTGGGCTGTGTCTGCTGGGAGTTGTCATCCTTCCAAAAAGGGTGATGTGAGGCTCTCTTGAGGGTGCATTGTTGGTTTATGATGGCCCCAGGAATTGATAGGGTTTGGCCCCTTCCTTCCTTCTTTCCCCTTCCTTCCTTTCTCCCACCCATCCCCTTTCTTCCTTCCCCTCCTCCCTCCGTTTCCCCTTCCACTATATTCCCCTTCCTTTCCTTCTTCCTTCCTTCTCCTTCCCRCTCCTCCTTTCTCCATCCATCCATCTCTCCTTCCTTCCTCTTCTCCTTTCCCGTCCTTCCTTTCTTCCCATCCCTCCTTTTCCCCTTCCTTCCTTCCCATTTCCCTTCGGTTTCCTCTTCCCCACTTCCTTCATTCCTTTCCCTTCTTTCCTTCCGCTCCTCTCTCCCTTTCCACTTCCTTTCTCCCCTCCTTCCCCTTCCCTTCTTCCTTCCCCTTACTTTCTCCCTTCCTTCCTTCCCTCCTTCCTTCCTCTTCCCCCTTTTTCTCCCACCCTTCTCCTTCTCTCCTTGCTTGCTTCTTTCCTCCCTTCTTTCTTTTTCTTTCCTTCTTTCCCTTTTCTCTCTCATCCTTCCCCTTCCCTCCCTCACTTCCCTCCCTCCTTCATTTCTCCCAACCTTCCTCTTCCTTTCTTCCTTCTCTCCCCTTCCTTTCTCTCACCCTTCCTTCTGTCACTTCTTCCTTCTTTCCTTCCCCTTCTCTCCTTTTCCCTTCTATAATCCCACCGTTCTCCTCCCTTCCTCACTTCTCTCCCCCGCTTCCTTCCCTCTCCTTCCTTCTTTCCCCTTCCTTTCTCTCATCCATCCCCTTCACTCCTTTTTTCCTTTCTTCCCTTCCCCTCCCTTCCCTCCCTTCCTTCCTTCCCCCCTCCCTCCTCTCTGCTTCCTTCCTTCCCCTTCCTTCCTTCTCCTTCRCCTTCCCCTTTTCTTTCATTCCCTTCCCTTCCCTTTTCTTCCTTCCTTCCTTCCTTCCTTCCTTCCTTCCTTCCTTCCAGATAGAGCCTAGGGCACCTGATATTCATTGGGGATCTTTATGAATTTGGAAGAAGTTCATCTTTTGGTACTGCCACTCCCAGAATCCCTACCACCTTTCCCCATCCCAACCATAGGGTTTCCTTGAACAATGGGTCTGCAGAGGTGGCTCTGACCATTTCTTCCTCTGAAATGCAACCTATGACACCTGATATAGGTCAGTGGTCGCCCACCCAGGTACTGACCAGGGCTGGCCCAGCTTAGCATCTCAGATCCAACAGAACCTGGTGCCTTCAGACTCTTCTCTCTTGGGTGTTCTTGTTATGTGCCTTCAAGTTTACTTCTGGCAAACCTATAGGTGATGGCATCCTTTGGATGCTGAGAGAATGTGACTCACCCAATGGGTTTCCATGGCTGCTCAAACTACACTGGGTCTACAGGTTAATAAATAAATAAATAAAATGTTGTTGTTGTTGTTATTCAGATAGACTGTATCTCCCCATATGGGCAGTCCCACCACCATCACAAACATAGTTTTATTTAATTTTGTTTTGATCATAATTTTATCTTTCAAGATATCTGCTTACATTGGTTTAATGCTGTGAATAGTTTAATTCAATTTTGCCATTTAGCCTTTGTAGGGCTTAAGTTGTGTGGTAACAATAACAACAACAACAATATCCCCCGCCTAATTGTGCAAATTAGGGTTTGGTTATGATTTTAGCTATGTGGTGGTGATGATTATGATGATGATGTCGATGATGTCCACCACCAAATTGTCCAGGGCAAGGGTTAGAATTAGGGTTTGGGTACAATTTTAGCTGTATGATATTATGATGATAATGTTATGATGAGGATGGTGGTGGTGGTGGTGATGAATTATTTTTACCACCAAATTATCTTGGTCAAGGGTCAAGGTTTGGGTTTGCATATTGTTTTATCTTCATAATAATAATAATTATCATCATCATCATCATCATCATCACCATCATCTGCAAGGAAGCAGACAAAACAATAGCTCACATCCTCAGCTGCTGCAAGAAGATCACGCAGACAGACTACAAGCAGAGGCATAACACCGTTGCTCAGATGATTAATTGGAACTTGTGCCACAAATACCATCTGCCTGTGGCAAAGAACTGGTGGGATCACAAGCCTGAAAAAATTACAGAAAATGAATACATCAAACCACTCTGGGACTTCCAATTTCAGAGTTTTGGAGCACAATACTCCTGATCTCATGATCGTGGAAAAAAAGTATGGATCGTTGATGTTGCAATCCCAGGTGACAGCAGGATTGACAAGAAGCAACTGGAAAAGCTGACACAATACGAGGATTTAAAGATTGAACTGCACAAGCCAGTAAAGGTGGTCCCAATGGTGATTGGCACACTGGGTGCAGTGCCTAAAGACCTTGGCCTGCACTTAAAAACAGTCACGCTGACAAAAGACCACCCTACTTGGATCAGCACACATTATTTGCTGATACATCACACAGTCCTAGACACTCGGGAAGTGCCCGACGTGTGATCCAATACAAAAGCCAGCATAGTGATCTTGTTTCCTGTGTACCAATCTTGTTGTGTATCTAATAATAATAATAATAATAATAATAATAATAATAATAATAATAATAATAATGTCCACCAGCAAATTGCCCAGGGCAAGGATTAGGGTTCAGGTTCGGGTATGATTTTAGCTGTATGGTGYTGATGATATAATGATGAGGAAGAATTACGTTTACCACCAAATTGTCTGGAGCAAGGATCAAGGTTRGGGTTTGGATATTGMTTTACCWTAATAATAACAACAACAATAACAACAACAATAATGTCCACCACCAAATTYTCCAGGGCAAGGGTTTGGGTATGATTTTAGCTGTATGGTGGTGATGGWGGTGGTGGTGGTGGTGATGATGATGATGATGAATTACYTTTGCCACCAAATTGTCTGGAGTAAGGATCAAGGTTCGGGTTTGGATATTGTTTTAGCATAATAATAACAAKAACAACAATGACCACCACCAAATTATCCAGGGCAAGGGTTCGGGTATGATTTTAGCTGTATGGTGATGGTGATGGTGATGATGGTGGTGGTGGTGGTGAGATGATGATGATGATGATGATGATGATGATGATGATGATGAAGAAGAAGAAGAAGATGAATTACGTTTACCACCAAATTGTTAGGAGCAAGGTGAGGGTTTGTATATTGTTTTAGCATAACAACAACAACCACCACCACCAAATTGTCGAGGGTGAGGATTTGGGTATGGTTTTAGCTAAATAATAATAATAATAATAATAATAATAATAGTAATAATAATAATAATAATAATAATAATAATAATAATAATAATATCATCCTACGAATGTCCAATCTAAGGATAGTGGTGGGCCATCCTTGCTTCTCTAACTCTGGGAATCTGCTTTCAGAGGAAGGAAGAGGAGCGCCGGAAAGCCGAAGAGGAGAAGAAGAAGATGGAGCAGGTAACGCTTTTGTCTCGCACACAAATAAAGGGAGGCTTTGGCACAGCGACAGCGGGTGTTGCCCAGCCGAAGCAGATGCCAAACATAGCCTGGCATTTTCAGCTTAAGCAAATAAACACGAACATACATATTCAGGTCTCAGGAGGCAAATTCGGTTCTGAAAGCAGGTGCTCGCGACTGTACTAATTGTACACTGCACAGTTTCTGGGCACCGAAAGGAGCAAGAAAGCTGGCAGAAGGGAAACCAGTGGTTCTCAACCTTCCTAATGCCGTGACCCCTTACTACAGTTCCTCATGTTGTGGTGACCCCCAACCATAATATTATTTTCGTTGCTACTTCATAACTGTAATTTTGCTACTGTTATGAATCGTAATGTAAATATCCGATATGCAGGATGTATTTTCCTTCACAGGACCAAATTTGGTACAAACACCCGATGCACCCAAATTTGAATACTGGTGGAGTTGGGGGGAATTGACATTGTCATTTGGGAGTTGTCGTTGCTGCGATTTATAGTTCACCTTAAATCAAAGAGCATTCTGAACTCCACCAACAATGGAATTGAACCAAACTTGGCACCCAGAACACCCATGACCAAGAGAAAATACTGGGAGGGTTTGGTGGGCATTGATTTGGATTTTGGAGTTATAGTTCACCTACATCCAGAGAGCACTGTGGACTCAAACAATGATGGATCTGGACCAAACTTGGCACGAATACTCAGTATACCCAAATGTGAACCCTGGTGAAGTTTGGGGAAAACAGATGTTGACATTTGTGGTTTCTGGAATTTATAGTTCACCTACAATCAGAGAGAATTCTGAACTCCACCAATGATGGAATTGAACCAAACTTCCCACACAGAACCCCCATGAACAACAGAAAATACTGTGTTTTCAATGGTCTTTGGGGACCCCTCTGACACCCCCTCACACCCCCCCCCCCGGGGTCCCGACCCCCAGGTTGAGAAACGCTGATCTGCACAATAGAATTAATACATTTTGAACCCAGTTTAACTCAATAATATGAAATCCTGGGAGCTGGCCTTGGAGTGCCGTCTCTCATCAAATCTGGATCAATTTGGCAAACAAAGGGCACTTGATCCCTGCCTGGATGTGGTCTTTTGCAGAGCCCTCCAACCCAGGATGCATTTACGGATAGGAAAGTACCTTATTGCGACCCGTAAGCAACCCTCTCGCAGTTTCCTTGTCAAGAGTTGTCAGAGTTTTGTTATCCAAGGTGATTTGCCTTTCTCTTCCTCTGAGGTTGAGGGAGTGGAACTTGCCATGGGTTGACAGCCGCAATGCAAGGTTCAATCCACTGCACCAAGCTTTATGAATTCCTTCCTTTTCTGTTTCCTACCTACCTTTCTTACTCCCTTTCTTCTCTTACCTTGTCTGTTTTCTACCTACCTAACTAGTCTAGAGTGTAGAACAGGGGTTGAGTAACCAACCATTTGTGGTCATATCCAACCCGCGGTCCTTAGTTTGGGGTCCACTGATTGGAACTCCAGCTCCCAGCATCCTTAACCTCTCCGCCACGTTGGTTGGGGCTTTTGGGGAAGGATATTGCCACCTAACTATTGTGTTCATTTATCTCTTTCTGGTTTTCCGTTCAGGAGCTCAGCAAGCGCGAGGTGATGAGGGTCGCCAACCTGGAAATCCCTGCTGAATTGGTTGGGTTGCTAAATACTGTGGCAGGTATATGCCTTTAATTATCACTTGGGGGGTTTTCTTCCCCACTTTGGGTCAAATGATCTGGATTGGAACCAACCCTTGCAGGATCCTCTGATCAGTGCCTGAGATCCAATGAATCCATCCCATTTGGGGCGGCTTTTGTAGGATCTGGATTTGCTGATTTCACAAGGGGAACCCTGTGGGGTTGCATATATTCTAAAGCAGAGCTTTCCAAACTTCTCATGTTGGAGACATGCATACTTTTGCAACACAGAAATTCAGTTTTACTGACAAACCAAATGGCTAAGCCAACCCTTAGAGGACTTTGATGCAATATTTATTATATTATATTATATTATATTTCACTGTGTAACACAATTTTTGTTCCTGGGTTGTCAATGTCATTTCCTAATTGGATCTATTATAAAAACATGGGAAAAGTTTATTAAACTGCAAAAACTTCGTTTGTGCTGCAGCACATTTTGCTTGAACAGGACCAGCACTTCACTTCTGCTGGGAATGAACCTCTCTGGAGGTATTTAAATGCAGACTGGATGGCCATCTTCTGGGAGGTCTTTAACTGTGTCTTCCCTAATGGCCGAATTGGTTGGGCTAGATGCCCTTTATGGATCCCTTCCAGTTCTAGTGAGGTAGAGACTGCCTGGGGTCCAGTGGAGTCTCTAAGGTTTTTGAACGGAGGTTGGATGGCCATCTGTTGTAAGGGCTTTAACTGTGTCTTCCTGCCAGGCAATCTTTGTTTTTGGGGAACCTTTTTCATGTGGCACACCTGTGGACTACAGGCAACACATACCTGTGTCCCGATGCACAGTTTGGAAAGCTCTCTGCTTCAAATGTCAATTTTGTGCCTTATTCCTATTTAATAATTGTGGACTTAAGGAGATCAAAATGAAGGTCAGGATGAGATTCTGACTCATCCAATGTGCAGTGTCCAATTGGTGCATCTACGCTGCAGAATTAATGTTGTTTGAGATTACTTGAGGTGCCACGGCTCCATGGGAGTTGCAGTTTGGCAAGCCCTCGAGCCTTCCCTATCCATGAGTGCCAACTACAACTCCCAGGGCTCCTTCTGTCTCCTCTCGTAGTTCACAAGCAGGTGAACGAGGACTGCGTCGCCTCCGTCCCTCGTCCCAAACTGCAGGAGGAGTCCCAGCTCACTTTGCCCCTCGACATCAACAACTACCCCATGGCCAAATACGTGCGGATCCACTTCAAGGTAAATGAAACCCAAATTGCAAGGCTACCAGGAGATAGCCTTCTCACAAAGTCTTCAAGCAGAGACTTTTGATGGTGTCTTTTTGCCTGGTCAAAGGGGGTTGGACTGGACAGCACTTGGTAACTCTTCCAACTCTTGGATACTATCGTTCTATACTCTTCCAAGTGAGCAAAGGCAACACTGGAGACCCAATCAACTGCTCAAGTGCCTTGCCTTGCCTTTGCTTTTGCAAAGGAACAAATACTTGATGCCCAGCGGTTCACTCTTGTTCTGTCTCTTGATCCGTCCCAGGAGCCCTTCTTCGGGATGCTCACCAGGACACTGGCATCTCCTCTCACTCTCCTGGATGAGAGCCTGGCACCTGAAGCCATCAGCATCTTCAAGCTGGTAAGGAATGGCTGGGATGGTGGTTTGGCGCTCCCTTTTCAAATGCAGAGCCTGCCTTAAGAGGATCAAGGAGGGAGCGTGTCTGAGTGTGAATGCGCTCGTGATAAAGTATGTGCACTTGTGTGTGGGAGAGGAAGGAACAGAGAAAATGTCAAAGTGTGAATGAGTGTGAAAAGTGTAAGACAAACAAGAAATGGCTGAGTGTGAAAAAGTTTTTTGTATAAGAGAAAAAGAAAATGGCTGAGTGTGACTGAGTGTGGAAAAGTGTAAGAGAAACAGAGAAAAGGGCCGAGTGTGAACGAGTGTGAAAAACTACTCATGTATTGTCAAGAAATAGAAAGAAAATGTCTGAGTGTGAATGAGTGTGAAAAGGTACTCGTATGCATTGTCAAGAAATAGAAAGAAAGTCTGAGTGTGAATGAGTGTGAAAAGGTACTCGTATGCATTGTCAAGGAATAGAAAGAAAGTCTGAGTGTGAATGAGTGTGAAAAGGTACTCGTATGCATTGTCAAGAAATAGAAAGAAAATGTCTGAGTGTGAATGAGTGTAAAAAGGTACTCGTATGCATTGTCAAGCAATTGAAAGAAAATGTCTGAGTGTGAATGAGTGTAAAAAGGTACTCGTATGCATTGTCAAGCAATTGAAAGAAAATGTCTGAGTGTAAATGAGTGTGAAAAGGTACTCGTATGCATTGTCAAGAAATAGAAAGAAAGTCTGAGTGCGAATGAGTGTGAAAAGGTACTCATATGCATTGTCAAGAAATAGAAAGAAAATGTCTGAGTGTGAATGCGTGTGAAAAGGTACTCGTATGTATTGTCAATGAATAGAAAGAAAAGTCTGAGTGTGAATGAGTGTGAAAAGGTACTCGTATGCATTGTCAAGAAATAGAAAGAAAGTCTGAGTGTGAATGAGTGTGAAAAGGTACTCGTATGCATTGTCAAGGAATAGAAAGAAAGTCTGAGTGTGAATGAGTGTGAAAAGGTACTCGTATGCATTGTCAAGAAATAGAAAGAAAGTCTGAGTGCGAATGAGTGTGAAAAGGTACTCGTATGCATTGTCAAGAAATAGAAAGAAAATGTCTGAGTGTGAATGAGTGTAAAAAGGTACTCGTATGTATTGTCAAGAAATAGAAAGAAAATGTCTGAGTGTGAATGAGTGTGAAAAAGTGTGTGTATATATGAAACAGAAAAATTACTGAATGTGAAAATATACTTGTGCATTGAGAGAGAAATTGCTGAGTGTGAATTAGTGTGAATATGTGTAAGAGTAGCAGAGAGAAAATGGCTGTGTGAATGAGTGTAAAAAGTGTTTGTATGTGTAAGAAAAACAGAACAATGACTGAGCGTGAAAAGGAAATAGACATTAAATGGCTGAGATTGAATGAGTGCGAAAAGGCATTTGTGTGTGTAAAATAATGTGCAAAACTGAGAGAACGTGGAGGAATGAAAATGATGGTACATCCTGTATTATGCTTTGCTTATATGCATGAATGCACATGTGTGTGAAAAAGCATGCAAATATGTGAATAGGAGAGAGAAATCAATTGGTAATGGCATGTCTTGTGAGATGTTTTCCACATGTCCTTCATGTAAGTCTGACAACGGAAGACATGTGAGATTATGATGGTTGCAATAGCACATGGAGTGTTCACAGAAGGCTACCACTATGTGCTTCCTCCCTCTCAGGTCCTTCGCTTCATGGGCGACCCCCAACTCCATGGCATGCAGGAGAACCTGTTTGGGAACTATGTGGTGCAGAAGTGCCTCTCAATGCCCGGCCTCCGGGATGAGATCCTCTCCCAGATCACCAACCAAGTCTGGCGCAACACCAACGTTCACAATGAGGAGCGGGGATGGCTCCTCCTGGCAGCATGCCTCAGCACCTTTGCACCATCCCCCAACATGGAGAAGTTCCTGCTCAAGTGAGTGGTGCCCCCAAGCCACCCTCACCTCATGGAGGCAAAGTCTGGAACACAAAGGTTGGGAATGTTAATCGAGATTGGGTATTTCATAACTTGCTGCTGTCTATGTAGCAGAAATACCATGAAACCCTGGTTCTGAATTGAAAAGTTGTGCATCTGGCACCAGCGACGTTGTTCTGCTTTGGCCACTTCTGGTGACCATTGGGCAATTCACATTTTCAATGAGGACTTGTGATGTCTATTGAATGCTTGTAATGTGCATTGAGCACTTGTAATATTGGACACATGTGTATTGGATGCTTGTGATGTGGACTAAGAATGTGTGATGTGCAGTGGACAGTTGTAATGTGCATTGAGTACTTGTGATATTGCATAATTGTGCATTGGACACTTGAGATACACATTGGATGCTTCTGGTGCATCTTGAGCACTTGTGATGTGCATTGAATGCTTGTAATGTGTACTGAGCACTTCTAATACTGGACACATGTGCATTGGATGCTTGTGATGTGCACTAAGAACATGTGATGTGCACTGGACACTCGTGATGTGCATTGAGTACTTGTAATATTGCATAATTGTGCATTGGACACTTGAGATACACACTGGATGCTTCTGATGCATCTTGAGCACTTGTGATGTGCACTGAATGCTTGTAATGTGCATTGAGCACTTGTAATATTGGGTATATGTGTATTGGATGCTTGTAATGTGCACTAAGCACTTGTGATATGCAGTGGACACTTGTGATCTACATTGAGTGCTTGTGGTATTGGATACCTGTGCATTGGGATGTACGCTGAGCACTTGCAAGGTGCATTGAATGCTTATAATGTGCACTAAGCACTTGAGATGTGCACTGAATATTTGTAATGTGTATTGAGCTCTTGTGATATTGGACACCTGTGCATTGGCTGCTTACGATGTGCCTTGGATATTTGTGATGTGCACTGAGCCCGTAAGATGTGCACTGGAGACTTAATGATATACACTGAACACTTGTGATATAGAACGGTTGCTTGTGATGTGCACTGAGCACTTCTGGTGCACATTCCAAAACACAACTGACACAATAAACAATTACAGTCTAATCCCCCACCTTTGGATGGTCCCAAATGCCAACTTCTTGGGACTGTCTCCAATTGGGGGGCTTTCACCTTCTCCCCTCTTTCCTGACTTCCAGGTTTGTCTCTGACTATGCCTTTGATGGTTACAAGTCCGTTTGCCAGCACAAGCTTATGCAGGCCATGGAGAAGGCCCAGGCCGGGGGCGACACTGCTCGGTCCTTCCCCCCGACTCTCCTCGAATGGACGGCCAGCCGGGATAAGGTCAATATGGCCCTGGACATTTACTGCTTCAACGGTGAGAGGCTGGTGAGGCAGAAGCATCACATAGTATCATGTCTAGAGAAGAAGGGACACTAGGCTTCACTACATCCTGCTGTATGTCTCTGTGGTCAAGTAGTGGTGGAAACACACTACCTTGATCATGAGGAGGAGGATGGGTCTGGTGATGATGATGATGGTTTGCCTTCACAGGAGATCACTTCTCTTGCCCCATCCACTCTTGGATCACCGGAGAAGCCCTTGCTGAGAACGTCCTGAGATACAGGTAGGAGCATTTTGATTGCCCCAATGTGCCAAGGTCAGGTACCTCGCCTGCTGTGGAATCATGGGAGTTGTATTTTGGTTATGCACCAACATTCTTTGATAGTGAAGGCTCAAGACTTTTTAAATTACCATTCCCAAAGCATTGAGCCATGTCTGTTCCAAACTGCATTCATTCCATAGTGTAGACGTACTCTACAGGATCCTGGACCAGAAAGGTCTAGTACGACTCTTCTTCTGTTCCTTCCATCTTTCGGTGTGGCCTCGGGGCTTTCCTTTGGAGATCCTCTTTTGCCTATCCTAAATCGGTATGGGTTCCCCATGAATGTCATGGGACCCACTAAGCGGTTGTGACATTGGGAAAAGATGCCTGGAGTTGCTTCTTCATAGCAAACAATGCACAAGTATCTATAATGACATAGAACAGAAATGTATGTATGTAAATCTAAATAGACTCTCAAGAAAGTAATATACAACAGTATTCTGTGTTCTCTATTAGCATAACTTGTCTGAGACTTTATACATAAAACAAAAATGTTATCAGCACATTATCATAGAGAAATAAACAACAGACTAAAGATAATAAAGTCCATCCTTTCAGTGAAGGAATTAAAAGGTCTCTATCTTTATCTTCAAAAGAATTCTTCTTTTGGCAAGACAGTCTCAAGGAATTCTTCTTAGGCAACACAGTCTTTCTTAGGCAACAAAATCTCAACAAGGTCTTCCGGTATGTTATCCTTGTTTCGAACAAATATCTTCCTCAGGGTGTAGTCTGTTATAATATTATGCTTAGTGCAATTCTCTTCAGTAATACAGGCTCTGTTGTAGTAGGAGTTCTATAACTCCTCGTTGGCTCGTTATGGACTCCTTATTTAGTGCACTAAGCATAATATGATAACAGACTACACCCTGAGGAAGATAATTGTTCGAAACAAGGATAACATACCGGAAGACCTTGTAGAGATATTGTTGTTGCCTAAGAAAGACTGTGTTGCCTAAGAAGAATTCCTTGAGACTGTCTTGCCAAAAGAAGAATTCTTTTGAAGATAAAGATAGAGACCTTTTAATTCCTTCACTGAAAGGATGGACTTTATTATCTTTAGTCTGTTGTTTATTTCTCTATGATAATGTGCTGATAACATTTTTGTTTTATGTATAAAGTCTCAGACAAGTTATGCTAATAGAGAACACAGAATACTGTTGTATATTACTTTCTTGAGAGTCTATTTAGATTTACATACATACATTTCTGTTCTATGTTGCTTCTTTTTACCCTCATCATTTCATTCGAGGTTCTCAGGTGGCTCACAAGCGATGTTTCTTGGCAGGGGACTCACAGAGGGATGGAAAGGCTGGTCAGTGACCATGAAGGATGGCAACCAGTGGGCAGAATTGGCTGGTCATGACTATGTCCTAGACCTGGTGTCTGACCTGGAGCTGATCCGGGGCTTTCCAAAGCAGAAGTCCTACTTCATGATTGCCTCAGACGATCTAGAGAAGAATCCAGTTGGCAAAGCGTAAGTATTAGAGGAGTCCTCTTGGTCCTTCGAGGACTATACTGGCCATAACTATGTTCTGAACTTGGTTTCTGACCTTGAGCTGATCCGAAATAGAAGTCCCACTTCATGATTCCTTCAGGTGGTCTAGAGAAGACCCTTTTTTTCCATTCTGACATGGCTTCCCAGACTCTCAACCCAAAACTTAGACCACTATGCCATGCTTGTTCACCCTTTCCTTCCTATCGCTCTCTCTCACTTCCCTCTCAATCCTTCTTTGCTCCTCTCCTCCATTTTCTCCATAGAACATTCAGACATGGTTTGGATTCAAATGAAGAAGTCCCCCCACCTCCGCTGATAAAGGCCCCCACCATTGCGCCGACTCACCTGCCAGATTCAGAGGGATATTACAGCCATGGTAAGGTGAAAAGGGCTTGACCCTTCCTTTTATTGGGCATCCATAGGTTTGACATACTTAATATTGCACTGTCAATTGGTCATTGTTACAAGTGCCCCCTCCTTATTTGAGAAGATAGGGACCAGAGCCAGAAATTGTGGTACCCAACATCACCTTTCCATTTTCATTCAGTTGCATTGTAAACCAGTTGAATTTGGATTTTACTAAATGAGATGAACTTGAACTTCAACCTGATGTCAATCTGACCTGGAAGCACCCCACCACAAAAGACACAGTCTTTGGGGCTAATCTACTTTCCTTTGCCTTTCCAACTGGAAGTAGATTCAGACACTGTCAGTGAAGCCCGGAGCCAGAAGGGTTTGGATCATTACCTGGACAGCCTTTTCGACCCTGTCCTCTCCTACGGGAATGGGGTAAGTGTAAGAGCCTCTCTTCCCATTCAAAATAGTGGTTATAAGAAGACATGGAGGCCCATCCCTCATTTCCCCTAAATCTCTCTCCCTTCCTCGTGTTGTTTCGTTTGAGAATTTATAAAGAATGGTTAAACATCTCTACTCTATGATGTCAAACCATTCACCATTCAGGAAGTTGCTCCTAAAGCATTTCTATTTAAACGCTTCCTAAGAAGGTTAAATTGTTCCTTTTGCTTGGTTCTTCTTGATCTAGGAACTGGAAAGGTCATCCGTAGTCTCCCATCGAATGAAAGGCGGTGGACAGATTGGACAGGGCAATGGAGACCAGGGCAGTGGTGATGGTGAACCCCATGGGGGACCCCAAACCTTGGGTGAGGAAAGACCAGACTCATTTGTCCCCTCCTTCCCTTCCTACCTCTCACCCTTCCTTCTTTCCTTCCTTCTTGCCTTCCTTCCCTCCGTCCTTGCTTCCCTGCTTTTTTCCTAACTTCTCAATCTCCTTCTTTCCCTCTCTCTCTTCCCTCCTTCCTTCCTTTTTTCCTTCCTTCTTGCCTCCCTTCCCTCCCTCCTTGCTTCCCTGCTTCTTTCTTTCCTTCTCAATCTCCTTCTTTACCTCTCTCTCTTCCCTCCTTTCTCCCTTCCTTCTTTCCTTCTTCTCAATCTCTTCTTTCCCTTTCCACTTTTATCCCAATCTCTGCTTCTTTTCACCTCTTCCTTCAATTCTTCCTTCCTTATTCTCAATTTCCTCTCTTCCCTCCCTCACTTCTCTCATTTTCTCTTCTCTCCCTTATTTTCTTCATCTCAACCTCTCCCTTCTTTGCTCTCTCCCTTCCCTTCTTCATTCCTTCTTCTCAATTTCTCCTTCCTTCCTTTCTCTCTCTCCCTTCCCTTCTACCCCCTTTTGTCTCAATTTCCCCTTCCTTCCTTCCTTCCTTCCTTCCTTCCTTCCTTCTCTCCCTCCCTTCTCTCTCACTCTCTCTCTCTCGCTTTCCTCCTCCCTCCCTTCTTTCCTTCATCTCGACCTCTCCCTTCTTCACTCTCTCCCTTTCCTTCTTCATTCCTTCTTCTCAATTTTTCCTTCCTTCCTTCCTTCCTTCCTTCCTTCCTTCCTTCCTTCCTTCCTCTCTCTCCCTTTCCTTCTACCTCCTTTTGTCTCAATTTCACCTTCCATCCTTCCTTCTCTCCCTTCATTCTCTCTCTCCTTTCCCTCCCTCTTCGCTTCTTCTCAACCTCTCCCTTCTCCCCTGTCTTCCTTCCTTTCTTTTTTTTCTTTCTTCTCGACTCTCCCTCCTCCCTCTCTCCCATCCCTCCTTCAGCTCAATTTCTCCTTCCTTCAATCTTTCTCCCTCTTAACTCTTAAAGCAATGCTTTCCTTCKCTTCCAGGTGCGGAGGAGGCTGCTGTGCTGTTAATGAAGCAGGCTTACCGCCAGCAGGAGTCTGTTTTGGTGAGTGAGTGTTGCAGGAATCACACTCTAGGCTGGCCCTATTTCAAATCCTTGGGCTTGCAATCACTATCCTAAGCTGTGCCTAAAAGCACAGGAGCCCAGCCTGACGACAAACACAGCCCCCTAACCTCTGCCCTCTCTTTCTCACTTAGGCTCGCCACATGTCACAGCAGCTCAGTGCCCTCCGTCAGAGACAGCAGCATGCAGCAGTGGCCCCAGTGGGGCGCAGGTCCTCTCCACAGTCCACTCCAGCATCGCCCTGCCATAGAAGCCCTCCCAGGGTGCAGGTGGGACAGCCCTTCCAGGTGAGTCGAGGTTCCAAGGTGGAGAGCTAGGCTTTGAGCAGGGGTCAGACTAGATGACCTCCAAGTTCTTTCCAGCCATCCCATGGTTTGTAGTCTGGAGCAAGAGGCAAGTGATGGGAGGGACAAGACCCCAAATGATCAAGGACATCAAGACCAGGTATGGTCCTTGCAGAACGTCCCTCTCCATGCTTTCCCCATGGCTCCATAGTTGATTCCCTGCTAAATGATCCCCTCCTCAAATTTCCTATTGTTCCCTGTTCAAATATCTCCCCAAAAAGTCCTAATGGTTTCCTGATTGGCTTTCCCATGGCTCCCTACTCACATGTTCCATGGCTCCCTGATTCCCTTCTCTGAACTCCCATCACTCCCTGCTTGAATTTCCCAAAGATTCCATGCTTAAAGCCCCCATAGGTTCCTCTCTGCTCTCTCATTATACCAAGTCTTACAAGTCTTGTCCGTGCAAACAAAATGCAGTCAATTTCCTGGTAAATGTGCTTATGTCCCAAGGGCCAATTATGGGTCAGCGTCCCTGGGGTGTGCATTGCCCCAGATCATGCCCTCCTATCCCCTTACCTTTCCCTGGGACGTGGTGTGCCATCGCTGGAAGCTTTGTGCCCTTCTCTGCCTGACCCCAACCTGCCCGACATTAGATACCAGCTTTTGCGTCGCTCCCTGTATACATTTCACTCATCTTGGGCACTCACTACTATTGCTGGTGTCGGTTTGTGTCTGGCTGTAGTTGTGTTTTGCCAGACCACAATTCTGTCGCAATACAATGGTCCAAGAGAGAAAGAAGCAGACTATTAGCAGGGTCTTGGATCACCCAGATCTCCAGTGGGTCTTTCAGAGGTTGGGAATGAAGTCCAGGCAGAGTCTAGATGAGCTTAGATCCATTTCTAGATTTTTGTCATAAATCTGAGATTTGTGGTATTATTTAATTTCACCCTCCAACTTGGCAGAAGGAAGCTGAGAAAAGAATGGTTGAGAGAAGTGTGACATCTCCCAGCCTCATGCAAGACAGAACCAGCCCTCAGAGTCCTGGTAAGGATTATTATTATTATTATTATTATTATTATTATTATTATTATTATTATTATCATCATTATTATTCCACTTTCCTCTCTTATATGAGACTCAAGAGTAGACCAGGCAGGGGTGGCCAAAAACATTGATGGGTTTGAGGATCTTCTTCCATGATTTCTTCTGAAACAATACTGGGAAGGTGATGCTATTTGGTGGGGCAGAGAAATCCATCATTCGGGGAGCCATAGTTCTCCTTCAGGTCCTCTCCTCGAAGCCCTGATTGCTGCCAATACTGGCTTTGTTTAGGTGCCACCTTGTATTCAAACCTTTCGGACTTAGCTATTCTTTCCAAATAAGTACAAGTATATGGTTTCAAAACTCCTGGAACAATACATAATAATCATTTATAAAGATGACGATGGTGTATTCCTGCATGATTATTAATATCCAAGATAATGATTGAGATGATCCTTATTCTCAATGTCAGGGTAACACAACCAGCCCTCAGAATCCTGATCATCAACATCCAAGACAATGGTGGAGATGATTTTTATTCTCAATGTCAGGCTACCAGAACCAGCCCTCAGAGTCCTGATCATTAACATCCAAGACGATGATGGAGATGATCCTTATCCTCAATGTCAGGATACATACATAATCATTAACTATGAAGTTGACAATGGCATATTGCTCCAAGAATATCAATGTCCATGATGATGATCATCATCATCCTTAACATAAGGATACATACATAATCAACATCTATGAAGTTAACGATAGTGCATTCCTACAAGACTATTTATTTATTTCAAATTTATTTATTTCAAAGTTTTCTATACCGATCTTCTCACCTCATTGAGGGACTCAGCCCGGTTTCCAACCATAAAAACACATACAATCAGTAAAATATCATAGTTCACAATTACAGTAACACATTTAAAATAACAATATATTTAAAAATACGGTAGTCAGTTGTCATATTAAAATCAAATATACATAATCTTCCATCCAAAATCCTAGGGTGTTGTCTCATTCATCGAAAGCCTGTCTCCACAACCATGTCTTCACCCGTTTCCTAAATGTCAGGATAGACGGGGCGGTTCTGACCTCCGGTGGGAGACAGTTCCAGAGTCGCGGGGCCACCACCGAGAAGGCCCTGTCCCTCCTCCCCACCAGGCGCACCTGTGCGGCCAGTGGGACCGAGAGCAGGGCCTCTCCAGACGATCTTAATAATCTTGATGGTTCGTATGGGAGAATACGTTCGGAGAGGTAAACGGGGCTGGAGACTATCAACAATGACGACGACAACGATGATGATGATGATGGCAATATTGCAATTCTTTCCAAATAAGTACACGTATATGGTTTCAAAACTCCCAGAACAACACATAATAATCATATATGAAGATGATGTTGGTGTGTTCCTGTAAGATCATCAACATCCAAGACAATGATGGAGATGATATTTATCCTCAATGTCAGGATACATACATAATCATCAACTATGAAGTTGACGATTGCATATTGCTCCAAAAGCATCAACATTCATAATGATGCTGATGCTGCTGCTGCTGATGATCATCATCATCAACAACAACAACAACATCCTTATCCTTAACATAAGGATACATACATAATCAACATCTATGAAGGTGATGATGGTCCATTCCTCTAATCATCATCATCATCATCAACAACAACAACATTATCCTTATTCCTAACATAAGGATACATACATAATCAACATCTATGAAGGTGATGATGGTCCATTCCTCTAAGACTATGAACATCCATAATGACGACAACAATGATGATGGTGGTGGTATTGCTATTCTTTCCAAATAAGTACAGCTATATGGTTTCAAAAATCCAAGAACAACACATAATAATCATATATGAAGATGATGTTGGTGTGTTCCTGCAAGATCATCAACAGTCAAAACAATGATGGAGAGGTTCCTTATCCTTAATGTCGGGATACATACATTATCATCAACTATGAAGTTGATGATGGCGTATTGCTCCAAGAGCACCAACATCCATGATGACAGTGATGATGATGATGATGATGATGATGATGATGATGTTATCCTCAATGTAAGGATACATATATAACCCACATCTATGAAGATGATAGTGTTTTCTTCCAAAACCATCATCCCTAATGATAACAACAATGACAATGATGATCCTCATCCTCAGCATAAGGTTCCATAAATAATCGTCAACCCTGAAGATGATGATGGTGTACCAAGAGCATCATCATCACCATCATTATTTTGAAATGATGCATGCAAGAACAACAGAAGGAAAGGTTTACCTCCTTATTGAGTTCTCTGATGCATTTATCTTTTGGAAGTCTTTTTTTGGGGGGGGGGTGAAGGAAACTGGCAAAGTCATTTAAGCAGACAGAGCAACTTTCTGTGATGATGATGATGATGATCCATAGCTTCAACATCATCGCATATTTAAACCAAGTTTTAATTAATACACAACCCAACTAGTATAGAAGAGAAGGGGGAAAGTGGACTGTGTGTTAATTTTAAAAAATTGGTTTAATTATACGATTATGTTGAGGATAAAGGTCATCATCATGGATGTTGATGGTCTTCTAGCAGTACATCATAGTCATCTTCATACATGATGATTATGTATTGTTCTGACACTACTTTACTACTGGAATCATATAGTTTGGTAAGGCACCAACACTCTTTGGCAGAGAAGGCTCAAGACCTTGAAAGCTACAACTCCCAGGACCCCATGAAAGTTAAAATGGTATCAAACTACATTAACTTTACAGTGTAGATGCACACTCACTCTCCCTTTCATCTCCACCCCATTTAGATCTTGCTTCCAGGCTGCGGGCCGGTGAACTGGTCCGCCATTCCAAGCTGAACTCGGAGCACATTCCGGAGCCGACGCAGAACATCCGCAACATCATTAAACAATACCAGCAACCAATGCGAATCCCCGAACCCATCAGGTTGAGTCTGGAAATTCCTAATTTCCCAAATTCCTACATGTTCTTCCACCTTTAGACACAAAATTTCATTTGAAACCAAATGAGATGAGATGTTGGTTCCTAGAATAAGTTCTGGGTGGGTGGAGTCTGGGCATTATAGTGTGGAAAGGGGATATCTGACAAATTTGGGAGATGCTTGTGAGTTGGATACACCTGATTGTCTTTTGCAGGAAGGAAGGAGGCAAAGTCTTTGTGAAGAAGATGGATCCTCACGAAGAAGCATTGAAGATCTTGAAGGGGCAGTTGACCACCACGGAAGCTCCTGTGCGGCCTCCACCGGTAAAGTTGTTTGGATTGGAAGTCCTGTGCCTCAAATGGGTTGCCCCATTTCCTATCATAGGGATTGTTTCCAGATCTGGGGGCAGACTTTGAGTATGTCTACACCATAGAATGAATGCAGTTTGACCCCTCTTGAACTTCCGTGACTCAAAGCTATGGTTAGCTTGGGGAGGCATAACTCTGTTTGCCAGAGAAGGCTTAAAAGTCATCACCTTTAAAGTTCAGACTAAAACCCAGAGCAGATCCACTGATAAGGAAGAAACCGATGAATACCACTTGTCGATGTACTTTTTAAGATTCCTGATGAATGGGATCTCAAAGTGCAAACATGAATCCATAACTCTCGGATTGGCTTTTTCGCAGACTCTTTGGGAAACTGTGCCAAAGGAGGTGGTGGCCATGGTGAAACCTGTGCCGACTGCCAAGGCGGTGGTGCCCCCCGCCATCCGCTCATCTCCTCCTGCCATCACCAGATCTTTCCAAGCCGCCCCACCAGGTAACAAAACATACTACTTTCCAGATTGGAGTCCTTCCATTTTCTCCAAAGGCGGAGTTTTATAGAGATGGGATCGCAATTCCCCCAAATCTCCATCATCGACATACAAGATGAGGATTCTGGATGCTGTTGTGCATGATGTCAGATCCTTTCTGATCTATGTTAATACTAAAGGATTATCATAGGGTTATCTTCCAGAATAGTCACTGACCAATCACTTCTGATCTATGGCCATCCTAAGGAGAATCTATCCTAAGGTTATCCTCCAGACCAGTCATAGGTCCTTTTCTGACCTATGGCCATCCTAAGATGGACCTATCATGGGTTCTTCTCCAGACCAGACACTGATCCCTCGTTTCTGACCTATGGCCATCCTAAGGTGAATTTATCCTAAGGGTATCCGCCAGACCATTTACTGACCACTCCTTTCTGACCTATGGCCATCCAAAGTAAATCTATCCTAAAGTTATCCTCCAGACCAATAACTGATGGGTCCTTTCTGACCTATGGCCATCCTAAGATGGAGCTATCATGGGTTCTTCTCCAGACCAGTCACTGATCCCTCCTTTCTGATCTATGGCCATCCTAATGTAAATTTACCTTGGTGTTCTTCCACAGACTGGTCATTGAGCGGCCCCTCTTTCCCAGCCTTGGCTTCGAGGGAATTACCGACTGAAGATGACCAAATCCAGACACGGCTTCACCGCCGGTGCAGCGAGGAATTCTACGCCTATCGCAGCGTCTCTTGGAAAATCTATCTCAGGAAAGAGGTACATTTCAGCAGATGGAAAATCCCTTGAGATTTCAGGCACTTCTTCCAATGGGAATACCTGAAGGGCCAAACTTTTCTTGAGATCCATTCTTGAGTTGGCCTTTTTGTTGTCTTTTCACTGCACCCTACATTTGGAAAACTCTTCTTTCGCTCTTTCCTTTCCATGCAGGTTTTTTATCCCAAGGAGAACATCAACAACCCTCTTCTGCTCGATCTTCTTTTCCGGCAGGTGAGTTTACCTGGAATTCCTCTACTATTTTCTTTATGTGGTACCACTTTCTCTGTAATGCATATTTTTCTTCTGGCAGATCTTCAGTGATACCCAGTCAGAGGCCTGCTTACGCATCACCCAGGATGAGAGGCTCCGCATGAAGACCCTCTTTGGTACATCCTCTTTACCAATGAGGCAAAAAGGGGTTGGACTGAATGGCAAAAAAGGGTTGGACTGGATGACCTTTGGGGTTCTTTTCCACTCCATAGTGGAATATGCCTTTATTTGGACGTTTATTGGAGTCTCCTCCTCTGAGAGATCTTTAATCAGTGGCTGGAAGGCCATCTGTCCGGAGGGATTAGATGGTGACTTCCTGCCTGAAAGAAGCAGGTCAGACTAGATGGCCTATGGGGATCCCTTCTAACTCTGGCTGTCTGTCGGGAGGGATTACATGGTGTCTTCCTGTCTGGAAGAAGCAGGTCAGACTAGATGGCCTTTGGGGATCCCTTCTAACTCTGGCCATCTGAAGGGAGGGATTAGATGGTGCCTTCCTGCCTGGAAGAAGCAGATGGACTAGATGGCCTTTGGGGGTTCCTTCCAACTCTATGATTCTCTTTGCAGCGGAAAACAAGCTGGACTCCTTCAGTCCGGTGGCTGATGAAAGCGTCAAGAAGGAAATCATAAGTGTTGCCCGGGATGTTTGGGAAGTCTACTTCTCCCGTCTTTTCCCAGCCACAGTACGAAATGTTCCATATATATATATATATATATATATATATATATATATATATAATTACTATATTTATTTATTATCATTGTTACTATATTTATTTATACTCTGCTTATACACAGACATACCCTCTCTGACTTAAGCTTCTCTGTCATTGCCTTGCAGGGCAGTGTGGGCACCGGCGTCCAGATTCTGGCCGTTTCCGACACAGGGATCAAACTCCTGCGGCTGGTCAAAGGGACCAACTTGCTTGGAGAACAACTTCGGGTCTTGCGGGGCTACAGGTCAGTCCATTGAGTTTGTGTTTCCGATGTAGGGTTGCCAGATTCATGGATTCACCTTGCAGGAGAAGATATTCCACCTAAACATTAGGAAGAACTGGGTTGCTGTGAATTTTCTGGGCTGCATGGCTATGTTCTAGAAGCATTCTCTCCTGACGTTTCACCCACATCTATGGCAGGTTCTCAGAGGTTGTGAAGTCTGTTGGAAACTAGGCAAGTGAGGTTTATATATACGTGTAATAATGTCCAGGGTGGGAAAAAGAACTCTTGTCTGCTTGAGGCAAGTGTGACTGTTGCAATTGGCCACCTTGGTTAGCATTGAATGGCTTCAAAGCCTGGTTTGTTGCTGAACAGGGGAATCCTTTGTTGGGAGGTATTAGCTGGCCCTGATTGTTTCCTGTCTGGAATTCCCCTGTTTTCAGAGTGTTGTTCTTTATTTATTGCCCTGATTTTAGAGTTTTTTAATACTGGTAGCCAGATTTTGTTCATTTTCATGGTTTACTCCTTTCTGTCGAAGTTGTCCACATGCTTGTGGATTTCAGTGGCTTCTCTGTGTAGACTGACGTGGTCCAGCATTTCTGTGTTCTCAAATAATATGCAGTGTCCAAGTCAGTTCATCAAGTGGCTAACTTCTCTGGTAGGATCACTCTGCAGTGCTTTCATGTTCCTTGATTCGTGTCTGGGCAATGCTGCTGCGTTTGGTGGTCCCTATATAGACTTGTCCTCGTGGTAGATGGTACGAGTATTTAAAAACTCTAAAATTAGGACAGTAAATAAAAAGCAGCGCTAAAAAATAGGGGAATTCCCAACATGGAACAATCAGGGCCAGCTAACACCTCCCAACAAAGGATTCCCCTAGGCAGCAACCAGCCAGGCTTTGAAGTTACAAGGCCATTCAATGATAATTGCAGCATTCACACCTGCCTCAAGCAAACAAGAGTTCTTTCTCCCACCCTAGACATTCCACAGATATATAAAACCCACTTGCCTAGTTTCCAACAGACCTCTCAACCTCTGAGGATGCCTGCCATAGATGTGGTGAAACGTCAGGAGAGAATGCTTCTGGAATATGGCCATACAGACCAGAAAACTGACAGCAATCCAGTGATTCTGGCCGTAAAAGCCTTCGACAACACATTAGGAAGAACTGCCAGATGATAAAACTGGCAGTAGAACATGCTTTCCTAGGAATCCAGTGGAGTCTCCTCCTCTTGAGATTTGTTAGGCTGAGGATGAATGGCCATCTGTCGGGAGTGCTTTGATTGTCTTTCTTCATGGCGGGATGGGGTTGGACTGGATGGCCTTTGGGTCCCCTTCCAACTCTAGTTTTGGGTATACCATTGAGTGTTATTGACCTTTTTTCCCTTCCCTTTCCTTCCCACCTTATGCTCCCATTTAACCCAATGTTGTTTTTTGACCCCAGCTATGGAGAAATCCTTTTTGTCTCCATCCCTTCCAAGAACATGCTGGAGTTCAACCTCAGCCACGAAAAGCTCATCCTCTTCTCCCCCAAAGCCTCCCAGGTCAAGGCCTTGGTCGACTATTTCATCATGGAGCTCAAGAAGGTAGGAGACAAGTTGCTGGGAGTTGTAGTCATTGTTGGGTCATTGTTGGCCACTTGCTCAGCTATTTGGGGTGGTTTCTTAGATTTGGGGTCAGGTTCCCCTTGAAACGATCTATCTATTGTTCTTTAGTGCAAATTGAACTTCAACATGCCTTTGACTTCCTCCCCTTAGGATTCCCAGTACATGGTTGCTATCAAGAACCACATCAGTGACGACAACAATCTCTTGCGTTTCCACAAAGGAGACATCATTTGCCTTCGGCCCATGGAGGGCTTGGGCCCAGGTGAGAGTGGGCGAAGGAACTGAATGGGAATCCCGATGGTGTGTGTAGTAGGCTGGATTCTGGGATTTGTAGTTCTTGGGCAGACTCTTATGAAACCACAACTCCCATGAGTCTGTAGCATTGGACTGTGGCACCAAGACCTTGGGAAACTACAACTCCCACAAATTTCTATGTAGCATTGAATCAAATGTAGCTTTGGACCATGTCACTAACACCTTGGGAAACTACAAAACCTTGCAAAACTACAACACTCCGGACTCTGTATATAGCATTAGACCATGGCACCAAGACCTTGGGAGCCTACAATTCCCAGGAGTCAATATATAGCATTGGACTGTTGCACAAAGAAGGTGGGAAACTGCAACTCCCAGGAGTCTGAAGCATTAGGCCATAGCGTCAAGACTGTGGTGAACTACAACTCCTAGGAGTTTGTAGCATTGGGCCATGGCATCAAGGCTGTGGGAAACTACAACTCCCAGGTGTCTGTATGTAGCATTGACTACGACTCCAAGGAGTTTGTAACATTGGGCCATGGCACCAAGGCTGTGGGAAACTACAACCCCCAGAAGTCTGTAGCATTGGGCCATGGCACTAAGGCCATGGGAAACTACAACTCCCAAGTGTCTGTATGTAGCATTGACTTTGACTCCCAGTAGTCTGTAGCATGGGCCATGGCACCAAGGCTGTGGGAAACTACAACTCCCAGGCATCTGTATGTAACATTGAACCATATATAGCATTTGATCATGGCACCAAGACCTTGGAAAACCCCAACTCCCAGGAGTCTGCAGCATTCAGCCATGCGGCCAAGACCTTGGGAAACTACAACTCAAATGACACCATAGCATTGAGTAGTTAATTTGGTATCAAACTTCATTCAGATGCACCCAGAGTCTCCTTGTTGGGCAAACCAATGCAGGGATAGCAAGGCTTTCAAATTCTTGGGTCCTGGGTCCAAGGTTTCCCTTGCCCTTTGCTACAGGGCGGACATGGGCCAACTTTGGCCATCCAGGTGTTTTGGACTTCAACTCTCACAATTCCTAACAGCCTATCGGCTGTTAGGAATTGTGGGAGTTGAAGTCCAAAACACCTGGATGGCCAAAGTTGGCCCATGTCTGCTATAGGGCCTTGTTTTACCCATTTAGTGGCATTGCAACTATATCTGGGGATTGTGGTGTTCTTGATCCCTCTCCCCAATGCCCTGGTGGCTCTCCCGTCCCCACAGACCGCTACTTCGGCTGCGTGGTGAGGAAGAAAGTCCTGCTCCTGGAGGATGTCAAGAAGGGCACCCTGGATTTTGGTGGGTGCCCCTTCCACTGAGTGCCGTGGTTGATACCCCTCTTGCACACTCCCCACCCCTTTTATCTTGCGTGATGCAGTGCTTTTCTCTGCAAGGGTTAAACTAAGGGAGCATCTAGATCAGAGCTTTCCAAACTAGTGTGTTGTCTGTAGTTCTCAGGTGCGTGGTGACGCATCTGTGTCGCAATTAAAAACCACCCAAATCCCATAAACCAAATCAAGTATAATATAGACATTACAAAATTGGACAATAACAATTTTACACCTAACTTTAAAAAAAACAAACAAGGGACAAAACATATCAAGAGGAAAGGTATCAAATTAATTAAAATGTACAAGTTTAAAAGCCAGCCGAGCCAAAGTGACACACCAATCCAACTCCCTTCGGCTAGGCAAGACGGCACAGTCAAGGCCCTCTCAACAGATGGCCATCCCACAATCATCCCATTGTACAATGTGTGATTGAGTCTTCCTTTCTGAAGATTTTGAAGCAAAACCATTGGCCATCTATCAGGAGGGTGTCTTCCTTTATGGCAGAAGGGAGTTGGATTGGATGGTCCTTGGGGTCCCTTCCAACTCAATGAGTCTAATAATTATTTATGTATTTCTTTATTTACGACATTTATATGCCGCTCTTCTCACCCCGAAAGGGCCTCAGAGCAGCTTACAAGATATATATACATGCAATATATATTATTAGCATAGTACAATATCAATATTAGATATTACTATATTGTACTATACCAATATAGTAATTGTATTATTAGTAGTAGTATTATATTGTATAATGTAAAATAAACCACATGTAGTTCACGTTCGATTAGTCCACACACTGCCTTGCCAGAGAAAGAAAATATGCGATGCAGATGAACAATGAATAACAAGTAGTTTATTCTTCGTAGTTCAAAACAACATATGTACAATGTGATCAGCTGTATCAACTCACATAATGTCCTTTTATGTGAGATTTAAAATGGTCTTTCTTTGTCCATGTAGATAAACTCCTTCAGCAGTTCATGAGGAATGAGCACATTCCAAACTCTGTCTCTCTCTGCCTATTTCTCTCACTGCTGCTCCAAGAACCTGCATAGTTGAAGCCTGAACAAAAATGTGACAGTATCCAAAAATCCCAGGCTCAGCCTGCTCTCCAGGCATAGCCTGACCAATCAGCTTCATGCATCTTATTTTACAGCAGAAAATTTATATTTATATAAATTTCACCATCTTCACCATCTTCAATATGACATTTAACCAGTCACTTCTTATCCTTCACTTCTCCTGGCTAAACATCTCCAACTTCCTAAGATTTCTGTTCCCAAACCTCTTACCTTATTTGTCATAAGTCAAAGTAATAGGAATACATGTAACCCTCCTGAATTTAGGAGTTTTTGTCGGCATAATAAAGGTAATCTGCAATAGGGATTTTGGATGTTGTTTTTATGGTCAATGCATCTCTCCATCTGAATGTCTTCTGCCACCATTTGTGGCTTCCCTTCCCATTACATTGTGTCCCAATCCTATTATTATTATTCTGACACAAAAACACAGTATGTCACAGCAAACGAGATATACATGCTGAATCACAAGTCGAACACTTCCCAAGCGTTTAGGACTGTGTGATGTATTTTTGAAGGATGCATGCAGATCCAAGTAAGGTAGCCTTTTGCAGTTGACAGATCGTGATTTTGTCAATGTTTATTGTTATTATTATGTTTACAGGATGGAAGTTTGGCGCCATCTATGGGAAATCTGGCTTTTTCCCTGCCGACTGCGTCCAGCCTGTGGCCGCTCCGGATTTCACCCATCTTCCGACAGAGAAGAAGGAAGAACCCAAGGACAAGCAAAGCAAAGTAGCCGCCTCCGCTTCGGTGGCTGTGGCCGTGGCATCAGCAGCCGTGGCACAGGAGCTTGACAAAAAAATTGAGGCAAGTCCATCAAGGAGGTCATTTTGTACCTTGAAGAAAGGAACTGTACGGTAACCATTGAGATTCCAATCCAGTTGACCCACCGTTGAGATTCTACACCAGCTAACCCATTATGCAACTATTAGGATTTTAATCCACTTGACACACCATGCAACCATTGAGATTCTAATCCAGTTGATCGACTTTGCAACCATTCAGTATGCCAATCCAATTGGTCCACCATTGAGATTTTAATCTCGTTGACCCATCATGAAACCATTGATATTCTAATCCAGTTGACCCACCATTAATTCAGTACATTACACTATGTAGCAAAATTTTAATTTTTTTTCTTTTCCTGGTTTGAAAGTGTTATTTCCTGTTTAATTGTGTGGTACTTACTTGGAAAGTAGTTGTGCTACTCCAGAAACTTCATTTTTTTTGGCTGCCACAAACTATGTTGAATTGGTTAAGACTCAATGAGGTTTTCATTGAAAAACTAGAACAGGATGTCCCACAGAAACAAAGTTTTTGCAGTTTAATAAACTTTTTCCATGTTTTTTTTGTGATAGGAATTAGGAAATGACATTTGTAACCCAGGAACAAACATTGTGTTATAAAGTGTTATAATCCACCTTGCAACCATTGATATTCCAATCCAATTGACCTGCCATGCAACCATTGATATTGTAATCCAGTTGACCCACCATGTATTCATGAATTATAATCCACCATGCAACCATTGAGATTTCAATCCAGTTGACCCACCATACCACCATTGTGATTCCAATCCAATTGACCTACTATGCAACCATTGATATTCCAATCCAATTGACCTACCATACCACCATTGTGATTCCAATCCAATTGCCCTACCATGCAACCACTGATATTCCAATTCAGTTGACCTACCATGCAACCATTGATATTCCAATCCAATTGACCTACCATGCAACCATCTATATTCCAATCCAGTTGAGCCAACATGAATTCAGTATTCATGAATTCATGAATTATAATCTATCATACCACCATTGTGATTCCAGTCTAATTGACCTACCATGCAACCACTGATATTCCAATACAATTGACCTACCATGCAACTACTGATATTCTAATCCAGTTGACCCACCATGAATTCAGTACATTATAATCTACCATGCAACCACTGAGATTCCAGTCCAATTGACCCACCATACTACCATTGTGGTTCTTATCCAGTTCCGATTAACCAACCAGGTTTCTGTAAAATGCTGAGATAATCACCCGGTCCCCAATCTGGTATCCTTTCCAGGTGTCTCCATCCAGCAGTGAATATGCAGAAAGTGGGGAGGAAGTTGGAGGTGCCAAGCCTAGTGCCCCGCCCGGCAGCAGCCCTTTGACCATGCTGGAGTTTGCCAAGAAGTATTTCCGAGAAGGTCCCCGGGCAAAGATGTGAGTGCGTGGCGGGCGGATGGACAGACAGACAGACGCGGGGACCTGGAAAACCCCTTTCTAGGGCCTGTTGGCACCCGAGGAAGTCGTCTCCTCCTGGTCTCGGTGGTGTCTTCACTCCGTGCCCACCTCGGCCGGCCACTTAGGTAGAACACCCCCGCCATTGTTTGTGGGCACAACCCCATGCCCCTGGAGGACCCAGAGGTGAGTCGAGTGCCTGGGTCCGTGTCGTGGCAAATTGGCTCTTTTGGAGAAAATAATAATAATAATAATAATAATAATAATAATAATAATACAATTACTTTCTTACCTGCCTCTTTTTGCAGGTTGACTTGATGACTCTCTCTCTAGGAATCTCTAGGTCTATCATTGCAGGGTTGCATTGGAGGACCTAGAGGTTCCTATAGAAACTATTTCTCTAGGTTTGTAGGTCCTCCAGTGTGAGTCTATGGTCCAAATCTTGGGGAAGTTGGCCAAAGGGTCATGCTGGAGAACCTAGAAAGGCAGTCTTACTTTATTTTGTGGGTTTTCAACTTTCATGGGGTTCTGTGCCTCTAACACCTGTAAAAGTTGGGGTTTTCCCAAATATATCTGCCCTTTCCTTTCAGTCTATATAAGTGAGTGGAGCGACATTATCAATCACTTCTATGGAGAACAGAAATGGGAGCTATTATTCATAAAATCCCTCTAATGTGTGTGCTGCAGAAATATTGCCTAAGGATATGGCATTGAGAGGGGATTGTATAGACAAACATTTGATCCAGTGTGGGATAGGAACAGGGCAAAGAGTAAGGAGAAGTGTAACATCAAGGGGTTATGGCCAGAGACTCAGGTGGTTGCAATACCACCAAATAGAAAGTTCATAGTTCAAATTCGTTTCAGGGACCCAGAGAAGCAGAAATCCAAAAGAAGCAGCGAGTCGAAGGGAGTTACAGAGTTGCTAAAATTCACCAAGGTAATGCTTTAGGCTTTCTATAACCAGAACAATGTTCCTTTCGACTCAACGATTTAAAAGGTTGGGTTGCTGTAAGTTTTTCGGGCTGTATGACCTTGTTCCAAAAGCATTCTCTCCTGACATTTCGCCTGCATCTATGGCAGGCATCCGCAGAGGTTGTGTGATCCAAAACCTAGAAAGGATTGATTGCCCCACTGATATGAGAACTGCTCCTTCCTGGGTGTGCAAACCACTTTGCATACTGCTGCAGTGGGTCCAGTCTGTGACTTCCATGCAATTCTTTTTCTTCCTGTCCTGGACAGAACCCCATCCAGGAATCGCTCATTGAATTTACGGACAGCAGCCTGAACAAACTGGCTTCGGAAGCCTTCCAAGGTGAGAAAGAGCTTGGATCTGGGTCCGTTGGGCCTCCATTCTTTGGCAGTCAGCTTGCAGGAAAGAGCTGGCTACCTCTGTGTGCATCTACACTATAGAATGAAGGCAGTTTGACACTACTTTCATGGCTCATAGCTATGGAATCCTGGGAGTTGGAATTTGGTGAGGCACCAGCACTTTTTGACAAAGAAAGCTCAATCATTTGTAAAACAGCAACTCTCAGGATCCCATAGCACTGAGCCATGCAAGTGGTGTCAAACTGCATTCATTCTCCCATGTAGAATCAATGCACAAACATTCTCTTCTCTCATCCATCCTAAAGCAAAGGTTCCCTTGGTGATTCGGAATGTGTTTCTTTGCTTTCCTAGCTGTGATGAAGTTCATGGGAGACCTCCCGCTCAAAGGACAGACCGAGTTAGATGCAGTCTATGCACTTTTGAAGGTAAATCGAGGAAATCGAACACACCAAGAGTGCATTTATACTGTTGAATGCTTTGGCTCAATGCTGTGGAATACTGGGAGTTGTAGTTTAGCACTCTTTGGCAGAGAAGGATCAATACTATGTAGAATTACTTCTCTTGAGAGTCCATCACTTTGAACCATAGAACTGATGGCATAGAACTGCATTCATTCAATAGCGTAAATGCACCCTGAATCAACAGTTGAAGAGAACTTGGAAGTAAATCCCACTGAAGCCAATTTTTTCGTTCCTGTTTTACATGAGGCCTTTGGAGAGGGTAGGTGGTCGAGAAGTGGGTTTTTCAAAGGCCGAAGTGGGACGTTCGTTAAGATTTCTATTCTTGCATACTTTCTCCCATGTCTTTCCCAGCTCTGTGGAGACCATGAGGTCCTCAGGGATGAAGTTTTTTGCCAGGTCATCAAACAGATTACGGACAACACCAGCTCCAAGGTGTACGTGAGTCCTGACAAATGAAAGTCTTGCAGTAGTTGAGGAAAATAAATGGTGTGGGAGGACTTGTTGGTTGTTTTTGTTATTTTCCATATTGAGGACCTTGATTCACGGAGACCACCTGAATGGGAGAACTTCAAAGCTCCTGGTCAACATCTTGAAACCCATGGCTTTTTTGGTGGAGACCTTCAACAACAAGAATAACTGTTACTGTTATGTTTATTTATGTCCCACTTTTTCTCTCCACAAGGAGACTCAAAGCGATTCAAAGGCCCTGATCATCAACATCTTGCCTTTAATGGTCTCAATCATTAACATCTTACAAATTCATGGATTTCTTGATGGAGACCTTCAAAGGGCTCAATTGACATCTTGAAACTCATGGCTTTCCTGATGGAGACCTTCAGGAATCCTGATCATTTCATATTTGGCTTCCTTAAATGGGAGCCTTCAAGAGTCCTGGTCACCAACGTCTTGAAACTCAAGGCTTTCCTGGTGGAGACCATCAAGAGCCTGATCATCAACATCTTGCAAACCCATAAATTTCTTGATGGAGACCTTCAAGCATCTCATTCACCAACATTTTGAAACCCATGGATTTCTTGATGGAGACCTTCAAAGGTCCCATAGCTTTCTTGATGGAAACCTTCAAGAATCCTGGTACTTTCATATTTGGCTTCCTTGATAGAGTCCTTCTGGTCGTCAACATCTTGAAACTCATAGCTTCCTTGATGGAGACCTTCAAGGGTCACCAACATCTTTAAACTCATGGCTTTCTTGATAGAGATATTTTGCTGGACTTTGATCATAAAATCATACTCCAGGACGGAGAGATTCCTAGAGATGTGTCCTTTTCAGGAATTTCCAGATCCTGCAGTGCAATTCTATGGTCAATTTCTGCTAGATATTGACCAGATGACTATGAATTCCAAGACAAAAATTTAAACAAATCCACAAGTCAGATCCAGAAATATGGAGAACTGTGTCACATTATCTGAACTCTCCTCTTTGGGGGGTTTTGTGCAGGGACAGTTGCCAGAAAGGATGGCGGCTCCTCTACATTCTCAGTGCCTACTACCGATGCTCTGAGGTCCTCAAGCCTTACCTTCTATGGTTCCTTCAGGAGATCTACAATGACTCCACCATGCATTTCCAAGGTGAGACATCCTAACGTTCAATTTTTTTCAAAAACGATGTTTTGTTACCAGGGTCCAAACTGGAAAGGGCTCTTTAATCTCCACCTGGAGAGGAACCATGAAACCTAGAGTCCCAAAATCTAGTAGCCCTAGTATAGTGGAACCCTAGTCTCATAGGATACCATTGTTCTGGGATGGATCTGTTTCTCATCTCACTTCCTTTCTGATTTGTTTTTCATTATGTTCTCTAGGAATTGCCAAAGCCTGTGAGCAAAATCTGCATAAAACGTTCCAGTTTGGTGGCCGGAGTGAATTCCCCAGCAGCATAGAACTCAAAGCTGTGGTGGTGAGTCTGGTTTGGAAATCCATTGGAAGCTAGGGCTGAAGTTGTTTCATGCTATAGTTATAATTATTTAACTTCAATGGCTGCCTCCTGTAGAACCCTGGGATTTGTAGGTTGGCAAGGCACTAGAGTTCTGAACACAATCTTTAGCGGAGAATATACTGGGAATCTTACTTCCCTTTGTTATGGAAATTCCCCCCAAATAACAGGTATTTAAAAGACAAAATACAAACAAGTGGCTTACTCATGCACAGCAGGAGGCCAAGTGCGGCTGAAGGAAACTTGAGCTTAAAAACAATGAGTAGCAGAGTCTACCTTAAAGTTTCAAAAAGTTTATTAAAAACATTAAGAACTACATTTCTAGATAGAAAAGATGGGGTCTAAACTAAATAAATCTAAGTAGAGATTTGGTTTAATCTCCATTTCCATCTAAGATATAGAAAAAGGAAAGACTCAGAGACTACATTCTGCATTCAATCGTCACACTAAGACTTAGAGAGGATGCACTGAGAGGACACTGACCACAAAGTCTCAGTAACTAAACATAGAGAGGACGCACTGAGAGGACACTGACCACAAAGTCTTGGTGACTTAACACAAAGGCATGCAATCTGAGAAATATCAGTCTGTATCATCAGTAACATGGGTTCTCAAACTAAGGCCCATGGGCCAGATGCGGCCCTACAAGGTCATTTACTAGTCCCCTGGTCTAAACTTTAGACGTAGGGTCACTCTAAGTCTGAAACAACTTCAAGTCACACAACAACAATCTGAATTAACTTGACTATCTGATCAACCAAAAGCAGACCTACCACTCCCATTGAAATACTGGAACATTTATGTTGGTTAAAATTGTTCAGCATTTTAAATACTGTTTTGTTCTTTCATGTTTTTTGCAGTACAAATAATATATCTGCAGTGTGCCTAGGAATTTGTCCATGTTTTTCTCAAAATATAGTCCGGCCCCCCAACAGTTTGAGGGACAGTGAATCAGCCCTCTGCTTTAAAAGTTTGAGGACCCCTGAACTAGAGAGTGAGAAAGACAGACAGAGACAACAGGCATTCACGGAGGATAATGGGAAGGTTTTCCCTAGCTTAATCCTGTTTGCTTCCTATTTATTTCCTTGATGAGGACTATAGACTTAGGTAGGATGTGGTTGAACTCCCAAAATCCTCAGTGTTGCATATTTCTCTGTTAAATTGAATTAATTTCAGCCCAGTCCAAACTTTGATCTTCTGTTCCCCTTCTTCCTTTGCAAAAGGCCGGACGCAGCTCCAAGCGACAGCTCTTCCTCTTGCCAGGAGGGATCGAGAGGCACCTCAAAATCAAAACTTGTTCGGTGAGCATTAAAAATGGGGAAAACCATGCCCACAAACAGAAAGAAACTACACTCAGAACTTGGGGACTGGACTATTGTGTTTTATGATATTGTTGAAAGGTGCGAAGAAAGAAAAAAACAACACTATGTAACACGACTTTTGTTCCCGGGTTATAAATGTTGTTTCCTAATTGGTTCTATCATAAAAACATTAAATTGCAAAATCTTTGTTTTGGCAGGATATCCTGCAGCACATTTTGCTGTAGTTTTTCAATGCATATCTCATAGAGTCTCAACCAATTCAACATGGTTTGTGGCAGCCACAAAAACAAAGTTTCTGGAGTATAACTACCACTTTCAAAGTAAGGACCTCACAATTAAACAGAAAATAACATTTTCAAACCAGGAACAGAAAAAAAAATCATTTTTGTTGTATAGTGTAATCTTTGTAGTCAGTCTTCCTGCTTTGAGGTAGCATTTAGTGCTTTCTCCAGATTTGTTGTGCTCAATAAGTCTAATGTATTTTTAGGCGTTCAAGGATGTCAAATGCTATGGAAGCATTCTAGGTCGCCCCAAAGCTTTCAGATTCTATTAAGGAAAGGTATTATTCCAAGTTCTCTGTGGTTCAACAGTGAATCCCATTGTTTCGTCCACTTTTCTAGGTTGCCCAGGATGTTATAGAAGAGCTGTGCTCTGAAATGGGTCTGTGCCGTCCCGAAGCCATCGATGAGTACATCATTTTTGCTGTCACCAACCGAAGTGAATCTTTCTATTTGTTATCTTTTCTAATTATTTATTTATTGCATTTGGATGCTGCCTTTTTCTAAGTTCTCTAGATTTCCAAGTTTTACTCTGAAAGACTTAATAGCTCCTTATAGGTTCAGACTAAAACTCAGAGCAGATTCACCACCATGCTTTTTCAAGTCACAAATGGAGAATATGTGGATATGGAGAGTTGGACATAGGGTGAAGTTAGGCTCCCCATTTGGAAATAGATGTTGAAAACAGATGTTACAACAATGTCCCAATGTGCCAAGTGTGCAGTGGACAAATCTAAGTTTCTCCTCTGCAGATCAGAACGTGCGACCTTTGAACAAAAGGGAGTACATCCTCGATGTGGCCACAGAGGTAGACAGCAACTCCATGTTCTGGTACCGGCGTGTCATCTGGGCCCAGCCCTTAAAATTTGACAACGAGCTCTACGTCACCATGCATTACAACCAGGTGAGGCTGCAAAGGAGCCCTCCGGGGTGCTGAATGCCCCTTGCAAAATCTGGACTAAGACTTGGAGCAGATTCAGCACTCCACTGGCATGAAAATAAGGCTACTTTGATCCCATTCAACGGGAAAGGAGAAATCCAAGATTTTGAAGGTACTTAGAAGGCAGGCACCTTGTAGACCTGGACTAAGACCTGGAGTTGATTCAACATCCCACTATCATGGAAGTGAGGCTACTTCAATCAATTCTGGGTTTTAGTCCAAACTATAATGAATATCTTGAGAGGGCAGGCGGCTTGTGAATTATAGATTAAGACCTGGAGCAGATTCACCATTTTACCGGCACAGAAGTAAGGCCACTTAGACCTGGTCTGGGATTTAATCCAAACTGGAAAGGAACTGGCCAAGGTTCTGCATGGGTTTAGAAGACTGCCACCTTGTGAAATCTGGACTAAAAGCAGATTCACCACCCCACTAGCAAGGAAGTGAGGCTACTCGGATCTGCTCTGGGTCTTAGTCTAAACTGTAAAAGAGCGATCAAAGGTGCTGAACTTGGCCAGAGTGGATTCACCACTCCATTGGCATGGGAGCCACCAGAGAATATTTTCTGGAGAAGAAGGGTCTGTCTTGTTATTAAGTGCAACCCCACGGTCCATGCGGGGTACATTCCTGAACTTACAATGGAAACAGGAAAATATAGGTAATCGGAAATCTACAGCTTCTACAACTCCCCTCATCCCCAGCCCAGCTTTGTCTCTCTCCCTGCCCAGGTCCTGCCAGATTATCTCAAGGGCCTTTTCAACACCATCCCACCAAGTGAGCAGCAGTTCCAGCAAGTCTCCCGGCTGGCGGCCCTCCAGCATCGGGCCAAGGACCGCGTCTACTTGCCAACCCTGTATGTCCAAAGGTCAAACACAGGGGGTAATTCACCGCTGGGTCACCAGTGGCAATCAATGTGTGCATCTACTCCATAGAATAAATGCAGTTTGGCACCACTTTTGGAGCCTGCCTTGCCCACGGGTGCAGGGGCCACATGTAACTCCAGTGATTCCATGGCAGTTAAAGCAATGTTGTACTACATTAACCCTACAGAGTAGATGCAGTGATGCTCCCTGTGTGACTTTTCTCCTTCCCCTTTCTTTCCCTGCTCCAAGACGGGAGGTCCAGGACTACATCCCACCCCAGTTCTTCCATCTGCAGAAAGCTCAAGCTTGGCTTGAAATGGTCACGCAACACATCCAACAAGCGCAGGCCCTGAGCATGCACCAGGCTCGTGCACAGTTCCTAGGTAAGAGATCATCTGAAATCTTGCCAGTTACACTATTCGAGTGGGGACATTTGGGGACTGAACTTGCTTCTGTTGGAAATAATGGGGAAGACAAATCCATATCCCAACAAGCAGACATCCAAGACCAGATATGTCCATTTTCTGCTTTAGAGTCATGTATACCAGTAATCTGAAAGACAGCTATAAGGACCTAGTATTCCGGCGGTTTTTTGTCTTTGTTTTTTTGTTCACACGGAACACATTCAGTACTTATTTAAAGTCCTCAAGCTCCTTCTCTTTAACTGTTGGAAAACGATGTTCAAATGAGTGTTTCAAAGCTTCAAAATTTCTCATTTTCTTATTTTGATTCTACGTTTTGTTTCTTATTCTTTAATTTATTATTATTATTATTATTATTATTATTATTATTATTATTATTCTCCTGGAACAGCCACAGAGTCCCTGGGAAGTGCAAGCAGGGCCCTTAGAGCTCTGCAGAGCACAAGTTGGGAACCACAGTCTACGTACATCCTATGTTCAGACACAGGACATTTAGTCCTTCTCAAAATGGTTGACCCCCCCTCCTCCCAACCACTCTCTCGCACCCAGGGCTCTTGAGTGCCTTCCCGATGTTTGGCTCGTCCTTCTTCTACATCCAGAGCTGCAGCAACAACACTGTTGTCTCCCCTTGCATCCTTGCCGTTAACCAGAATGGGCTGAACTTCTTGGACAAGGAGACTCATGTAGGTCTTGCGGAAGTGTCCTAAAATGACCTGTAGCTCCTCCAAAAGGCTCTGTGGATGTGTGTTTGCCAATGGGACATGGAAAGGACTTCCTTGAAAGAACCAAAGGTTGTGATTGATTTGCCTTTTCTTCCAGGAGCCCATTGTGACCTTCTCGTTGAAAGAGATCCAGTCAACTCGCACCCAGCGCCCTTCAGCTGGCTCTAGCTATCCATATGTCGAGATCATGTTGGGGGATCTGATGTCCCAAAGGATCACGCAATTGCAGCTGGAACAGGTAGGAAATGGCACCATGCCCCAAGAGTGGAATAGAGCTGCCATCAAAATTTCCCCTCCATCTGGTCTATTTGGGGTGGATCCAGGAACCCCTGTTTGGGCAAACCTAGCTTTTGGGTGGAGACAATTTGGTGAAAGTCCTTGGATGAAGGAGATGGGGTAACTCAACATTCTAAAGGTCTAAAGTGGGCAACCTTTGGTGGCCACATTTTTGGCCCTAAGACTCTTTATGGACCATGCATAGCCCAAATGGATGTTTTCCTCCATTTCTACCTATTTCTATACACTTCAAAGAAATATTCCCATGGAACCCATCAAATGAGGCAGGATTTCCCATGGATGTTGCTCCTGGGACTTCCTCTCTGCAGCATGTAGAAATGGGAAGATTTCAATGACGGGTATTGACTCCTCTCTCTGCTCATAAAAATGCTTAAAAACTGGTATTTCACTTTGTGTCTCCAAAAGGATGCCTGTTTTAAAAAGTGTCCTTGCAATGATTGGGCTCAGGGGGCAATCCAGTGTAATGGGGCTGAGTAAATTCTCCATCTTCTTTGAAGTCCATTATCTTACCTTTCATTTCATAAAACAACCAAGTATCCAATTGATCAATTTGTGCTTGAGGCAAAGTGAAGCCTGGCACCATCTGTTTACTGGAGGGCAAACAGAAGCATCATATAACCAGCAACTGAATCATAAAACAACCAAGTATCCAAATAGCAATTATAAAGAGGAAAAGGACTAAAATATGTTTAAGATCTGGTAGCCAATCGGTAAGCTAACGTAACCATTTGCTGGTTTGCCCTTTAACACTCACAACCTTCAATAATTTGGGATAATGAGTGGCCGAGAAAAGGTTTTAAGTCTAGAAAACCAGATCACTTAAGTCTTGGGGTGACATTGTGCTCATCTAAAGCAAAACTCCAATATGAATGGTATGTCTTAGATAGAAAATTTCAAAGCGGGGGTTGAAAACCTTGTTATATTAAGCTAGGGTAAAATAAAACCTTGTTATTATGGTTGGGTCAAATAACCAAAGTGTGGGTCAAATTGCCAACATCTGAGTCGAAACTGTCCCCTGCACCCCCTATTTTACTATTTCAAAACACAACACTAATTATATAACAAATTACCAGATTCCTGGAAAACTGAGATAGAGATGATGCCAACAGTTATAAGGCCAATACTGAGTAATGACTGTAGGATTTTGGCAATTCTAGGAAAGAGTATTGATTTTTTAAGTTGGAATACTTTATTTGATTGGAATGATGTTGGCTGGGTATTTTTCTTGCTAGGTTACATTTTTCTTTTTCTTTCAGCTGTCTTTGTGTTTGGTTGCAGCATGCATTTGTTGATGATACATATTTAGAATTTGTTGTAAATACCATAGCATTTAATTCTTCATTCTTTCTGTCCTCTTCTGTCCCTTTCTTCTGTCTCCTTCCACTGGCTCTGTGAAGCTTAACCTTCAGATGGTAGGTAGCTTGCAACTGGCATACTTATTCTGATAATAGATCTATAGTTTTTTCAAATGACACCCTTCGTGTTGTTTTGTAAGCTTTTAAAAGGAGGCTGAATATTCTAATCTATGAGTTTGAATTACAGGTGAGAAATGAATAGGTGAGTTTCTGATACCTAGAAAAATATAAAGGTAACTTTCTGATAACTTTCCTTTGGAAGACATTTTGTAGGGGTGTATCGACACTGTAGAATTAATGCAGTTTGGCACCACTTTAAATGTGGGATCCTAGGCGTTATGTATGTGTGATGTGGTGTGCTGTGTGCTGTATTGTTTCAGTATGTTTTTAACTGTGTTTTTAAAAATCCTGTTACTTATCTCTTTTTTTATACTTTTCACAATTTAGTTAAACCTTATCATAAGATGCCTTGAAGAAATGTGGAGGCTAAACCCAACAAATCATATCAAAATAACTGTATTTCAGTAATGCTGTGTCATAGGAATATTTGATATATTTCTATCCATAGATTATGGCAAAAAGATTTAACTCAGTGGCCTGAACTGAATGCAATTTGTTCCAAATTTTGAGAGTGCCAAGAAACCCTCGCAGACTCTGAGATAAATGGGCCGCAATCTTGACATCAGAGTGGAGTCTGCATGCAAAGTTGTGCATTGATTGTGTGCCCTTGCCTTGTTTGGCCGATTTGTGTTTCAATCAGGGACAAAAATGGAGTATGATGATGATGGTGATAATAGCAATGTTGCACCATAGAATATGAAATCCGCACAAGCGGATGGGTTTCTGAATGCGTAATAACGCTGTTTCTATGATTTAAGCTGAATTAAATTGTCAGATGTCAGTATTCAGGGAAAAGATTGATTTAAATATTTCACATTGCTATGTAGAATCTCAGCTTTGATGGAAATTGCAGTACCAACAATATCCGGAAGGTCACACTATTGCACTTATCGTGATGGCGCTATCACAGTAGTTTCAAAGAAGTAACCTACTTGAAATGAATGAACACCATCCCTTTTCTTTCTTTCTTTCTTTCTTTCTTTCTTTCTTTCTTTCTTTCTTTCTTTCTTTCTTTCTTTCTTTCTTTCTCCCCGTCCCAGGGTCTGGAGCTATGCCGGGTGATCGCCACACACATGGAGAGCTTGCTGCATGCAAGGGAAAAGAGGCTTACACTCCCACCGAGTGAGATTACGCTACTGTGATCAGATCGACTATGTCCCTCCTGAAGAACGTTCAACTCTGGGTGAAAAAATGGAGGCACATGGAAGCCACCTCCTGTTCCTCCTTTCCCTTCAATGAAACCGTATTTATCCCCTTAGAAATCCCAGGGTCTTCTCCAGTTCTCAGGAAGAAATGGAGGAATCCCAGGGCAAGAGTGCTGTCTTGGAAATGGGCCTCCTCTTCATTTGTTCAGCTTCATTATTATTTGAAAAGCATATTCTGCACAAATGTGGGGGTTGTTGACTTTAATCACTGCCCCTTTATACCATAGTAACGTATAGCCAGGGGCCCCAACCATGGCAGTTTGCAGTTGCTCACAGTAAAGAAATCCATTTGATTTCAGGATGGACTTCTTTTGGTGGGTTCTCCTTCAATAGAGAAGTCAGATGGCCATCCCTTGGGGACCCTTTGATTGTGACCTCTTTTATCAACCAGGACTTGGAAGCAATTTATTTGACTTTACGTATGAAACTATATCTATTCAATTGGTCCTAGAAAAATGCTGTTGATCCATTTGGTTCCTAGTTATTCAAAATGTGAAGGAGTCAAAGAGCAAAAGTTTTGTCTGACTTCGGTTCGATGGGGGAGAAGCAACTGACAGAGAAAACCAGTGAAATACTTTTTTTCTAGGAACAGAAGATGCAAAGGATCATCCATAAAAGCCAAATTTGGTCAGAGCTTTTTGCAAATCCAAGAAGAAATAGTGGATGGAGAAAAGATCGAAGGCTCAGATCACTATCTTAGCCTCTCTGCAGAATCTGGTCCATCATTTAAGTTGGTCAAGGATCCTTCCTTCCTTCCTTCGGCTTCATAAATCAATACAAAAGAAGAACTTTCTCAATTTAAGACAAAGTTTTTTAACTTCTCATAATACTTACCCCAAATGGACCAGGCTGCATTCTTCACCTGGACTAATCTATAAGAGAAGCTTCCTTTGGCCAGCAAGACAAACTAGATTCCAGATCCTCCAAACAACGCAAGAACTGTTGTTTTCTTCTCCATCTGGAACTACGTTTCTCCTTTTCCTCCAACAGCTGGCACGCAGATGTTTCTGGAAGCTTCCAAACAGAGCATAACAATGACTCCTCCACCGCCGTCCCTCAACTTCGGTGGTTTATATGCACAAGTCATTTGTAAAATTATTCACAAGCTTTTGTAACTCCTCGGGATCCTTTGTAGCATATCCTGGTTTTCTTTTATCATTGTCATTATTATTATTATTTTTATATAAAAGCAACAAATCAATCTTCAAAACAACTGGCGATTGTGCCATTCAGGAGAGACCGATATGTAGCAATATAATTTTTGTACTAGTTTTACACTCCTGATAGCTTTTCTGGGATTTTCTTTGCCGGGAGGGGTAAGTAGGTGGTTGGGGGGGGGGGGTTGTCCTATGTATAACTATAGCTGGAAATTAAAGGTGTCTTTTTATTGTTACTTCTTTTAATTGAACTGTTTTAATAATTGTAAAAGACAATTTTCTTTTTAATGTTTGCCTTCTGTATGATTTAATTTTAGAACTTACTACCTGATATGCCCTCATTGCCTAGATTTGCATTATCTTAGGGATACGTTCTTTCCTTTCCCTTATTTTTCTCTCTTCCCTCTCTTTCTTGGTCCCTTTCTTTTCTCTTCACTTCCCCTTTCCTTCCTTCCTTCCTTCCATCTACTTTCTTTACCCCTTCCTTCTTTTGCCTTTTTTCTTTTTTTCTCCTTTCTCCTTTCCCCCCTACACCTTCTCCCTCTCTCCTTTATTTCCTTCTACCCTTGCTTCCTTCATATACCTTCCCCTCTCTTCTTTCCTTCCTTCCTCTTTCCTTCTTTTTCTTTCCTCTCATCTTTCCCCCCTTTTCTTTCTTTCTTCCTTTCCCCCTTCTTTTCCCCTTTCTTTCTTTCCTCTGTTTCCCTCATAGGCCTTTTCCTTCTCTTCTTCCTGCCTTTCTTTCTTCTCTTGCTTTCCCTTATACACTTTACCCATCATTTTTCTTTCTTTTCTCTTCCTTCCTTTGCTTCCTTTCTTTCTTCCATTCCTTCATACCTTTCCCTTTCTTTCTTCTCAACTCCTTTCTTTTCCCCTCCCTTTCTTTCACTTCTCTTTCCTTCTTTCATACCTTTTCATCTTTCTTTCTCTGCCTTCTCTTTTCCCTTCCCTTTTTTTCCCATCCTGTTTCTTTACTCCCTTGCTTTGCTCTTTGGTTCCATCCTCCTTGTCTCTTTCTTTCTTTCTTTCCTTTCTTTCTTTCCCTCCCTTCATTATCTTTTCCCCTTTTCTCTCTTTTACTTTTTTTCCTACTCCCTCCATTTCTTTCCGCCTTTTTTTCTCTGCCTTCCTCTTTTCCTTTCTTATTCACTTTCTCTGTTTCTTCCTATTTTCCATTTCCCTCAAAGGCTTTCATGGCCGGAATCACTGGGTTGTTGTAGGTTTTCTCGGGCTGTATGGCCATGGTGTAGAGGCCGCTAGACCATGGCCATACAGCCCGAAAAAAACCTACAACCTAGCCTTCTTCTCTTTCCTTCTCTCCCTCTTTCTCTCCTTCCTTCTCTCCCCTTCCTTTTTTTTTTTTTTTTGCTTTTCCCTCTTCTTTTTTTCCTTTCTCTTCCCCTTCATCTTTCTTTCGTTCCTCTTCTTCCCTTCCCTTCATACCTTTCCCCCATTTCTTTCCTACTCCCTTTCTTTCTCTGCCTTCCTTCTCTTTTCCTTCCTTGTTCTTTTTCCCCCCTGGCCTCCATTTTCCCTCATAGGCCTTCTCCTTCTCTTCCCCTCATACACCTTTCCCCTCTTTTCTTTCTTTCCTTCCCTCCTTTTTCTTCTTCACTTTCCTTCCCTTCTTTTTCTCTTTCTTTCCTTCCTACTTCCCAGAGAAACGTTGCCTAGCAACAGCCAATCCGCTTCATGCTCTTTGTTCCCCAGTGACATCAGAGGCCCACTTCACCTAGCAACAGCCAATCAGCTTTCTTCCTTTCCTTTTCTGGATTTTTAGGCCTTGAAGGGGTCGGTTTTGTGGCAGAGGCCTGTCAAGTCCTTTAAATTGTGCCATAAAGGCTCTGTAGGCCAAGTCTGGTCCACATCCATCAAACCACACAGGAGCTTTTGAGGCACAAACCAACATACCTACATAATGTATTGTCGAAGGCTTTCATGGCCGGAATCACTGGGTTGTTGTAGGTTTTTCCGGGCTATATGGCCATGTTCTAGAGGCATTTCTCCTGACGTTTCGCCTGCATCTATGGCAAGCATCCTCAGAGGTAGTGAGGTCTGTTGGAAGTAGGAAAAAGGGTTTATATATATCTGTGGAATGACCAGGGTGGGACAAAGGACTTTTGTCTGCTGGAGCTAGGTGTGAATGTTTCAACTGACCACCTTGATTAGCATTTAATGGCTTGGAAGTGCCTGGGGGAAACTTTTGTTGAGAGGTAATTTGATGTGCCTGATCAAAATCATTTCTGTTTTTGCTGTTGCAATTTTAGAATTTTTTTATAACTGGTAGCCAGATTTTGTTCATTTTCATGGTTTCTTCCTTTCTGTTGAAATTGTCCACATGCTGCTTGTGGATTTCAATGGCTTCTCTGTGTAGTCTGACATGGTGGTTGTGAGAGTGGTCCAGCATTTCTGTGTTCTCAAATAATATGCTGTGTCCAGGCTGGTTCATCAGGTGCTCTGCTATGGCTGACTTCTCTGGTTGAAGTAGTCTGCAGTGCCTTTCATGTTCCTTGATGCATGTCTGGGCAATGCTGCGTTTGGTGGTCCCTATGTAGACTTGTCCACAGCTGCATGGTACATGGTAGACTCAACAAAAGATTCCCCCCGGCACTTCCAAGCCATTGAATGCTAATCAAGGTGGTCAGTTGAAACATTCACACCTAGCTCCAGCAGACAAGAGTCCTTTGCCCCACCCTGGTCATTCCACAGATATATAAACCCTTTAGGCACCTCAACCTCCTGCAGGCCCTAATGTTTTTATAGATTTATCATGGGACTTTTGATTATTTATCAATAAATCATAAATAGGGAAAGAAATGGTCATGTATACATCCCCTCAGAAAGATTGGGCACTTGAAATGCAATTTAGAACACCGCCACGGGCACTCATTGGCCGCCCAAGCTGCCTATCTTTGAAAGCGAAACCGATTGAGAGCCAATCAGCGTGGACTATTTCCATTTGCGCCCGCCTCAGGGAAAGTAGCCAATCGACGCTGGCGAGGGGGAGGGGGGGTGGAATAACGGCTGTTATTGAATTAAGCCCCGCCCTCTTCTGAACAAGCCCCCGCCCTCTTCTGAACAAGCCCCCGCCCTCTTCAGAACAAGCCCCGTCTCCAACGCGTAGGGGAGGGGGGGTGGAATAACGGCTGTTATTGAATTAAGCCCCGCCCCTTTCTGAACAAGTCCCGCCCCCTTCAGAACAAGCCCCGCCTCCAACGCGTGGGGAAGGGGGGTGGAATAACGGCTGTTATTGAATTAAGCCCCGCCCTCTTCGGAACAAGTCCCGCCCCCTTCTGAACAAGCCCCGCCCCCAACGCGTCGTTATGATAAACAGGCCCGTTTGTACGCATGCGCAGTAAGCGTCCCGCAACGTTATATCACAAGAGGGGAAAAAAGGCTTTACTTCCGGCTTCCTTTCGAAGGCCGCTTACATAATATCCAAAACCGGAAGTGGCCTCTTTTTTTTTCCCCCTCTCCGTGCCGCTCTAGCCTCCCAGCCTCCATGGTGGAGGCGAGGGAGGAAAAAGGGAAGAGCTGGGGCGCGCGTGCGCAGAAGGGTCGAGGGAGGAGCCGAGGCGAGCGGCCTTTCCCTCCGCGCGTGCGCAGTGGGGCGAAGCTGGCGCTCTTGAGGCGACGGAGGAGATGCCGCTGGTGAAGTTGTTTCCAATGTCCGCCCGGCCGCTGGTGACGTAGCGAGGAGTTCGCGCGGCGGAAGGAGCCTCGGGGGCCACCGTAGCAACCGCCAAAGTCCCCCGCTTGTTTTCTTCCTTTCTCTTCGACGCCGCCGCCATGGAAGGAGCCCTCGGGCCAGCGCGGAGCAGGAGGGAGCCGGGCTCGGGCGTCGCGTGCTGAGGGGTCGGCCTCCCCTCCCTTCAGGCCTCTCTGGGAGGAAGTCTCCCCCTCCTCTCCCTGGTATTCACTCCTCACTTTCAATAGTTACACCTCCAGTTCTGTTTTAGGGTTCACAATGACAACAACAACAATAATGTTTAAATGTTTATAATAATAATAGAAGTGGTATAGTATTTATCATAGTGATCAGAGTAATGCTAAAGTGTTCATAATAATAATAATAATATATTATATAATAATATAATAATAATATATAGTAATATATAGTAATCATAGTAATGTTAAAGTGTTAATAATAATAATACTTTAGTGTTTATAATAACAGTAATGGTATAGTATTTATCATAGTAATCATAGTAATGCTAAAATGTTCATCATAATAATAATAAAGTTTTAGTCTTTGTAATTATAGTAATATAGTATTTGTAATAGTAATCATAGTAATGCTAAAGTGTTCATAATAATAATAATGTTTTAGTGTTTATAATAATAGTGGTATAGTATTAATAATAGTAATCATAGTAATGTTAAAGTGTTCATAATAATAATAAAGTTTTAGTCTTTGTAATTATAGTAATATTATAGTATTTATAATAATAGTAATGGTATAGTATTAATAATAGTAAGTGTTAAAGTGTTCATAATAATAATAATAATAATAATGCTTTAGTGTTTATAATAATAGTAATTGTATGGTATTTATAATGGTAATCATAGTAATGTTAAAGTTTTAATAATAATAAAGTTTTAGTCTTTGTAATTATAGTAATATAGTATTTGTATTAGTAATCATAGTAATGCTAAAGTGTTCATAATAATAATGCTATAGTGTTTATAATAATGGTAGTGGTATAGTATTTATAATAGGAATCATAGTAATGTTAAAGTGTTAATAATAATAATAATAATAAAGTTTTAGTGTTTATAATAATAGTAATATATAGTATTAGTAATAGTAATAGTAATGTTAAAGTGGTAATAATAATAAAGTTTTAGTGTTTATAATAATGGTAGTGGTATAGTATTGATAATAGTAATCACAGTAATGTTAAAGTGTTCATAATAATAATAATAAAGTTTTAGTCTTTGTAATTATAGTAATATAGTATTTATAATAATAGTAATGGTATAGTGTTTATAATAGTAATCATTAATGTTAAAGTGTTCATAATAATAATAAAGTTTTAGTCTTTGTAATTATAGTAATGTTAAAGTATGTATAATAGTAATCATAGTAATGTTACAGTATTTATAACAGTAATCATAGTCAAATGTTCATAATAATAATAATGCTTTAGTGTTTATCATAATAGTGATGGTATAGTATTAATAATAGTAATAGTAATGTTAAAGTGTTCATAATAATAATAATAATAATAATAATAAAGTTTTAGTCTTTATAATAATGGTAATATATAGTATTAATAATAGTAATCATAGTAATGTTAAAGTGTTCATAATAATAATAATAATGCTTTAGTGTTTATAATAATGGTAGTGGTATAGTATTTATAATAGTAATCACAGTAATGCTAAAGTGTTCATAATAATAATAATAATAATGCTTTAGTGTTTATAATAATAGTAATTGTATGGTATTTATAATAGTAATCATTAATGTTAGTGTTCATAATAATATTAAAAATGTTTTAGTGTTTATAATAATAGGGATGTTATAGTAATTATAATAGTAATCACAGTAATCTTAACATGTTCATAATAATAATGTTTTGGGGTTTATAATAATAATGGTATAGTATTTATAGTAGTAATAATAGAAATATTAAAGGATTCATAATAATAATGCTTTAGTGTTTATAACAATGGTAGTGGTATAGTATTTATAATAGTAATCTTAGTAATGTTAAAGTATTCATAATAATAATAATAAAGTTTTAGTCTTTGTAATCATAGTAATATAGTATTTATAATAGTAGTCATAGTAATGTTAAAGTGTTCATAACAATAATAATAATAAAGTGTTAGTCTTTGTAATTATAGTAATATTATAGTATTTATAATAATAGTAATGGTACAGTGTTTATAATAGTAATAATAGTAATGTTAAAGTGTTCATAATAATAATAAAGTTTTAGTCTTTGTAATTATAGTAATGTTAAAGTATTTATAATAGTAACCATAGTAAAGTGTTCATAATAATAATAATAATAATAATAATGCTTTAATGTTTATAATAATAGTAGTGGTATAGTATTTATAATAGTAATAGTAATGCTAAAGTGTACATAATAATAATAATAATAATAATAATAATAATAATAATAATAATAATAAAGTTTTAGTCTTTGTAATTATATTAATATTATAGTATTTATAATAGTAATCGTAATATTACAGTATTTATAACAGTAATCATAGTCAAATGTTCATAATAATAATGCTTTAGTGTTTATCATAATAGTGATGGTATAGTATTAATAATAGTAATGTTAAAGTGTTCATAATAATAATAATGCTTTAGTGTTTATAATAATAGTAATGGTATAGTAATTATAAAAGTAATCATAGTAATGTTAAAGTGTTCATAATAACAATAAAGTGTTAGAATTTCTAATAATACTAATGTTATACCATTTATAATAGTAATCATAGTAATGCTAAAGTGTTCATAATAATAATAAAGTTTTAGTCTTTGTAATTATAGTAATATTATAATATTTATAATAGTAATCATAGTAAAGTGTTCATAATAATAATAACAATAAAGTTTTAGTCTTTGTAATTATTGTAATATAGTATTTATAATAGTAATCATAGTAATATTATTGTATTTATAACAGTAATCATCGTAAAGTGTTCATAATAATAATAATAACGCTTTAGTGTTTATAATAATAGTAATGTTATAGTGTTTATAATAGTAATCAGTAATGTTAAAGTATTTATAATAGCAATCATAGTAATGTTATAGTATTTATAATAGTAACCATAGTAAAGTGTTCATAATAATAATAGTAATGTTTTAGTGTTTATAATAATAGTAATGGTAAAGTATTTATAATAGTAATCATAGTAATGTTGAAGTGTTTGTAATAATAATAATAATAATAATAATAATAATAATAATAAAATGTTAGTGTTTTAATAATAGTAATGTTATACCATTTATAATAGTAATCATGGTAATGTTAAAGTGTTAATAATAATAATACAGTTTTAGTGTTTATAATAATGGTAATATATAGTATTAATAATAGTAATCATAGTAATGTTAAAGTGTTCGTAATAATGCTTTAGTGTTTATAATAATAGTAGTGGTATAGTATTTATTATAGTAATCATAGTAATGTTAAAGTGTTCATAACAATAATAATAATAAAGTGTTAGTCTTTGTAATTATAGTAATATAGTATTTATAACAGTAATCATAGTAAAGTGTTCATAATAATAATAATGCTTTAGTGTTTATAATAATAGTAATATATAGTATTAATAATAGTAATCATTAATGTTAAAGTATTTATAATAGTAATCAAAGTAATGTTATAGTATTTATCATAGTAACCATAGTAAAGTGTTCATAATAGTAATAATAAAATGTTAGTGTTTATAATAATAGTAATGTTATACCATTTATAATAATAATCATAGTAATGTTAAAGTTTTCATAATAATAATGCTTTATTGTTTATAATAATAGTAGTGGTGTAGTATTTATAATAGTACTTTAATGTTAAAGTGTTCGTAATAATAATAATAACGGTTTAGTGTTTATAATAGTAATGTTATAGTATTTATAATAGTAATCATAGGTTAGCCCCCAGGTTAATAACTAGGGCGGCATACAGGGAGCAGACAACTGCCATGTTACGTCAGCTCCACTGGCTGCCTGTTTGCAACCGAGCTCAATTCAAAGTGCTGGCTTTGTCCTATAAAGCCCTAAATGGCCCCTGCCCAGTTTACCTGACTGAACGCATCTCCCTTTACAAACCACTGCGGAAACAGATCTTCTGTGAGGCCCTGCTCTTGTTGCCGCCACTGTCACAGGTGCATTTGGCGGGGACGAGAGACAGGGCCTTCTCAGCGATTGCCCCCCACCCCGGTTATGGAACTCCCTTTCTGTCAATATTAGATCAGCCCCCTCCCTCCTGTCCTTCAGAAGGATGGTGAAGACCTGTCTGTGGGACCAAGCCTTTGGGGCAGTGCAATGAGGCAAAACGGTGTCGTGATATGGTTTTAAAGCAACATTTAATATGAATATGATTTTAATGTTTGTATATATTTATGGTTTTATTTCTCGGCATTGAATGTTTGCCGTCTATATGGTGTCCTCCGCCCTGAGTTCCCTTCGGGGTGAGAAGGGCAGAATATAAATGTTTTAAATAAATAAATAATGTTAAAATGTTCATCATAATAGTAATGCTTTTAGTGTTTATAATAATAGTAATGTTACAGTATTTATAATAGTAGTCATTAATGTTAAAGTGTTCATAATAATAATGCTTTAGTGTTTATAATAGTAATGTTATACCATTTATAATAGTAATCATAGTAATGTCAAAGTGTTCATAATAACAATAAAGTTTTAGTGTTTATAATAATAGTAATGTTATTGTATTTATACTAGTAACCATAGTAATGTTAAAGGGTTCATAATAAAGTTTAATGTTTATAATAACGGTAATGTTATAGTATTTATAATAGTAATTATAGTAATGTTAAAATGTTCATAATTATAATCATAATGGTTTAGTGTTTATAATAATAGTAATGTTATAGTGTTTATAATAGTAATCATAATAATGTTAAAGTATTCATAATAATAAAGATTTAGTGTTTATAATAATGGTAATGTTATAATATTTATAATAGTAATCATAGTAATGTTAAAGTGTTCATAGTAATAATAAAGTTTTAGTGTTTATAATAATAGTATTGTTATAGTAATTGTAATAGTAAGTATAGTAATGTTAAAGTGTTTATAATAATAATAATGTTTAGGGGTTTATAATAATGGTATAGTATTTATAACAGAAATATTAAAGGGTTCATAATAATGTTTTAGTGTTCATAATAGTATTGTTATAATATAAATAATAATGTTTTAGTGTTTATAATAACACAACTAATGTTATAGTAGTAGTATTATAATGCTACTATATTATTAGTATTATAATAATAAAACCCCTGTTGTTTTATAATATGATACTAACGAGTAGTGAGTTAAACCGCTGAACTTGCTGACTAAAAGGTTGCTGGTTCGAATCTGGGGAGCTGGGTGAGCTCCCGCTGTTAGCCCCAGCTTCTGCCAACCTAGCAGTAGTCTCATTTTTCCTCCCAAAAAAAATCCTTCTTGCTACTTTTCTATAAAGAAAAAAAGAGGGGCATATTCTATCCCCAACCATTATCAATACCACAAATATTATATGTATGTTGCTTTCATGGGCCCCTTGGTAGTGCAGCAGGTTAAACCACTGAGATGCTGAACTTGCTGACCGAAAGGTTGCTAGTTTGAATCTGGGAGGGGGGCGAGCTCCCGCTGGTAAACTGGCTCAGATTTTTGGGAGTTGTAGGCCAAAACACCTGGGGACCCACAGGTTCCAGCCCTAAATGGTTCCAGCCCAGCTTACTGGTCCGAACATATCTCTCTCTATGATTCACCTCAGAGGTTGAGATCTAGGGAGGTCCTGCTCTCGGTCCCACCACCTTTGCAGGCGTGATTGGTGGGGATGAGAGGGCCCTCTCAGTGGTGGCCCCTCGGCTATTGGACTCCCTCCCCAGTGAAATCAGAGCAACCCCCTCCCTCCTGACCTTCAGGAAGAATGTAAAAACTTGATTACAGGACCAAGCTTTTGGCAAGCAAGTTAGTGTAGTATGAGTATATGGAATTGTTGTTGTTATTTCTTTCAGGCTACAAGCCAGTAGGTTCAAGGCAAGGACTAGGAGGGCAGAGAGGGGTTTACTTTCCCTCACCTATCTCCAAAAATAAACCATATCTTCCTTTGGCAATTAGGTTTGGAGGCAAAGGAAAAGGATGGGAAGAGCAGAGAGGGGTCTAATTTCCCTCATAATTTTCTCCTGCTGACTCCCTACCTCCAAATAAATAAATGGGTTCCTTTCCTTTAGACTACAAATCAGTAGGTTTGGAAACCTAGGAATGGTAGTCCAAAGAATGGTCTCCTGTTCCTATCCCGAGCCCCTATTGATTTGTATTCTAAAGAAAAGCAACCAGTTTATTTCTTTGGAGATGGCTGTGGCTTGTGCATTTTTCATCACCAAACTTATTCCACTAGATTGCTATAAGTTTTCCAGGCTGTATGGCCATGTTCCAGAAGCATTTTCTCCTGATGTTTCACCCACATCTATGGCAGGCATCCCCAGAGGTTTTGACAACCTCCCAGGATGTCTACCATAGATGTGGGTGAAATATCAGGAGAGAATGCTTCTGGAATTTGGCCATACAGTCTGGAAAACTCACAGCAATCCAGTGATTCTGGCCATGAAATCATTTGACAACACATTTTCCACTAGAGATTTTTTTGTCATGGTTTTATCTTTTTCCAGTGTTTCTCCCTATTAATATTAATCCTGAAATATTTCTCCCCATTAGATGAGATCTGCTGGATTCGTGTCATACACATGCAGGAAATAAGATTGGGTTCTCTCACAGATGTAGAAGGATCAAGTTGAGCTGTCCGTTGCCTAAAATGAAGCAAGACAATTAATATTATTCTTGTGGTCTCCCAAACATCGTATTTGCTTGCTCCTACTCCAAGGACAAGAGGATATCTCTGAAGGGTGGAACATTTTGCCTATCTGGAAGAGTTTGTTTTGCTTCGTTGTTGGATTTCTTCCGTTCCTTGTTTTCCTCTGGGAGATTGTTCATCTTGGATAGACAATGCCGTGAACGAGAGCTCCGTTTTCCGCTCGCCTTACAAACTGTGCACCGAGGAGTTCGGGCACTGCCGCTGTAATAGGCAACTGGGGAATCTGCCATGGCTGGGAGCAGTTACACAGACCTACGAGAAAAACTCAAGTCAATGATGCCTTACCGGGACGGATACAAGAGCAGCGGCCTCCGGGATCCTGAAGAGCCCTCTTATGGATCCGCTGATCGCAAGCGCAAGTACCACGAGGATTCCGAGTCGGAGCCCAGCGACTACGAGGAACGCCAGCGGGAGGAGGAGGAGGCCCAGAAGGTCAAGAGCGGCATTCGTCAGCTCCGCCTCTTCAGCCCCGAGGAGTGCGCCAAAATAGAAGCGCGCATCGACGAGGTGGTCTCTAGGGCCGAGAAGGGCCTGTACAAAGAGCACACGGTGGACCGGGCCCCTTTGCGCAACAAGTACTTCTTTGGGGAGGGCTACACGTACGGGTCCCAGTTGCAGAGGCGAGGCCCTGGCCAGGAGCGGCTGTACCCGCGGGGGGAGGTGGACACCATCCCGGAGTGGGTGCATGACCTCGTCATCCGCAAGTTGGTGGAGCACCGGGTGATCCCCGAGGGGTTTGTGAACAGTGCGGTCATCAACGACTACCAACCGGGAGGCTGCATAGTCTCCCACGTGGACCCTATCCACATCTTTGAGCGGCCTATCGTGTCAGTATCGTTCTTCAGTGACTCGGCGCTCTGCTTTGGCTGCAAGTTCCAGTTCAAGCCGATCAGGGTCTCCGAACCGGTCTTTTTCCTTCCTGTGAGAAGAGGAAGTGTAACTGTGCTCAGGTAAGGAGGCAACACATGAGAAGAACTTGTCCATGTCAGCCCCAGGTCAAAGGAAATGTGGGAGAAACATGCTTGTTGCATGATGATATGGGGATGGCATACCTTCTCCTATGATCCCTGTTCATCCTTTCTAACAGCTGTTAGGTCTGGGATACAGCTTGAGTTGGAAGGAGAGTGGATTTGCAAGCCCTTCTTGAAAGCAACAGGCATTGGTTGCTATTATTTATGTATTGAAATATTCACAGATCCCTCTAGTAATGCATAATATCACTCGCAATGCCCACTGACTGGAGGAGTGGGTTTCAAACTGGCACCTAGAGATCCTTAGGGTGGTTTTAGAAATAATAATGATAATGATACATCTTTATATCCCAATATCCCACTTTTCTCCCTAAATGGGACCCACCACATTTTAAAAACAAAAGTTCCAGATCTAGCATACATATAACAATAAGTTATAAAACCATATATACAATAAGACATAAATAAAAACATTTATCAAATACAATACAATTGTTACAGGAAACTCATCAGTACAGGTGGTAAACATAATATGACACAGTGAATGTTAGCCTTCCTGTCGTTCCAAAACTAAGTGTCTCCATTAAAAGCTTGTGATAACAGGAAGGTTGTTAGCTCCTTTTTAAAAGGGAGGGAGCTGTTTTGACCTCCTTGGGGAGGGAGTTCCAAAGGGTTGGAGCGGCCACCGAGAAGGTCCTCTCTCTCGTTGCCACCAACCGCGTTTGCGATGTATTTAGTGTTTCAGCAATGAGAATATCTATAAAGTGTCTAAATTTCTATAATTCATCTTCACAGTTACAAGTTACAAGAAAGGGGATTTATTCTAAGGCAGTGCACCTCAGAGTGTTAGTCCAAGATCTGGTGTTGGTCCATAAGCCATTGGTTGTCAGTTTATTTATTTATTTATTTACGCTATTTGTATGCCGCATTTATCAGCCGTGACCGGCGACTCAATGCGGTTTACAGTAAAAGCTGTGCACACTAACAATGTAAAGACAAACATACACAAACGACACACATATAGACATCAACGCCTCACATAAATCAGATTCCGTTCTCACATTCCATTGCCGTTCCTTGTTCAGTTATGCCGTCTTCCTGGATTTAATTGCAATTGCACAGCTATCCGAACGCCTGCTCAAAGAGCCACGTCTTAACCCTCCTCCGAAACACCAGCAACGAAGGGGCCTGCCTGATGTCCGCTGGTAGGGCATTCCATAGCCGAGGGGCCACCACCGAGAAGGCCCTGTCTCTCGTCCCCGCCAACCGCGCTTGTGATGCCGGCGGGACCGAGAGCAGGGCCTCCCCGGACGATCTTAACGTCCTCGGTTCATAGGTGGAGATGCGTTCGGAGAGGTAAGTGGGGCCGGAACCGTTTAGGGCTTTAAAGGCTAAAGCCAGCACCTTGAATTGTGCCCGGTAGCAAATTGGCAACCAGTGGAGCTGGCTCAACAGGGGGGTGGTATGCTCCCTGAGTGCTGCTCCCGTTAACAACCTGGCTGCCGAGCGGACCATCTGAAGCTTCCGGGCAGTCTTCAAGGGCAACCCCACGTAGAGCGCGTTGCAGTAATCTAGGCGGGATGTGACGAGAGCGTGGACTACCGTGGCCAAGTCCGACTTCCCAAGATACGGGCGCAGCTGGCGCACGAGTTTTAATTGTTCAAATGCTCCCCTGGAAACCGCTGAAACCTGGGGTTCCAAGGTTAGCGAAGAATCCAGAGTCACACCCAAGCTGCGAACCTGTGTCTTCAGGGGGAGTGCGACCCCGTCCAACACAGGCTGTAACCCTATACCCTGTTCGGCCTTACGACTGACCAGGAGTACCTCTGTCTTGTCTGGATTGAGTTTCAATTTGTTCACCCTCATCCAGTCCGACACAGCGGCCAAGCACCGGTTCAGGACCTGGACAGCTTGGTGGCAAGTTTCCAGGAAAGTAAGAAATGTTTGTATCCAAAGATACAAAAGGAGCCCCCGGTGGCGCAGTGGGTTAAACCCCTGTGCCGGCAGGACTGAAGACCGACAGGTTACAGGTTCAAATCCGGGGAGAGGCGGATGAGCTCCCTCTATCAGCTCCAGCTCCTCATGTGGGGACATGAGAGAAGCCTCCCACAAGGATGATAAAAACATCAAATCATCTGGGCGTCCCCTGGGCAACGTCCTTGCAGAGAGCCAATTCTCTCACACTAGAAGCGACTTGCAGTTTCTCAGGTCGCTCCTGACACGACAAAAAAAAAATAAATCCAAAGATGATACCTATCCCTACCTCCTACATCAGATAACTTACACAGCGGAAGGGACTTAAAAAGGAAAAAAAAAGAAACCATTACAATGCATGCACAAAACCACATATACACACACACAAAACAGCAACGCGTGGCAGGGGACAGCTAGTAATGTATAAAAAACCACAAACAAAGTTAAAAACTTGGCATTCTGCTAAATTTCTTTTGACCAGAAGCTGGTCACTTCGAGTGACTCTGATGTCACAGTACTATTCTGAGGCAAATCCCTAGTTTGGGCACATCCTAGCTGATGCAGCTTGGATTACTTGTGAAACTTGGAATGTGAGCTACAGGGCCTTCTGTATGTGATGCGAAAAGGTTTCTGTAAGAACAGGAAGTTTCAGGGAGTATTTATAAGAGCCAGGGAGGTAATAGGAAGCTGCACTATTGACCCCAGCCAACAGGAAGAGCCTGAACTGATAAAAGGCTCCGGTTAAGGCACTCAGAGGAAAAGGTCAAAGATGAACTTGCTACCTTGACTGAGAATCATCTTTGACCCCGGGAACACCAACCTTGAGCTAGAATTCAATCTGGCCTGTAGAAAGTTAATTGTGTCTTCATAAATTGGTTTGATTACGAGATATTCATGCCGTATGTGAGTGCTTTTCAAGTCCCCTATCAAATTATGGTGACCCCATGTATTCTATAGCATTTTCGTAGGGAATTTGAATACTCAGAGGTGGTTTGGCCAGTTCCCGCCTCTGAAAAAACACCAGAAACAGTACCTGGAATTATTTGGCAATCCACCCATTCAGGTATTAACCAGGCCTGACCAACAATATTTTGGAAAAAATAAATGTTTTGTGGTTTGTAATAACAGTTCTCTTTAGAGCAGGGATTTTTAAACTTAACAAATATAAACTTATTAGCATTCCATTGGGAAGTGTGGGCCTGCTTTTTGCTGATGAGATAGAGTTGTTGGTGGTGGTGGTGTGTGCTTTCAAGTCATTTCAGACTTAAGTTGACCCCCGGGCCTTAGTTTGAGGACCCCTGCTTTAGAGCATGTTAAGCTGGTGAAACTTTGAGAGATGAAAATGCAGTAAGGAGTTGATTCATGCTTTTTCTGTAGGATGACTAAGGTGTTGAGCTACTCAGAAATATGTACCACTGGATTTACTGTATGCCTCATCACTTCTTGGCCAAAATCAAATTTCGTGTGTTTCCCTGCTTCCCGGCTTTGTTTCCTTACCCCGACAACCTCAAATGCAATTACTTAGCAAGTAGCAATATTGATCAGGAAGTTGGTTTTGTGAAGCAGCATTTTGCTGGGTGCTCAGTGTGAAAGAGCACCAAACATTGGCTCAGGCTAAGCGTGTGATGAAACTGTATTTATAGTTTCCTAAGCCAAAGCCAGCTCCCTGCCGGGATGAGTCAAACATGGTGAAGCGTTGTCATGGCAAAGGGAGGGCAACTGGGCTTTTTTTTTTGTCTGAGGAGTAAGTACTTCCGCCCAGTTTGAAAAGCCGTTTGTGGGGGAAACGTGATGCCCCTGCTCCCTTTTTGTAAGGCGATCTTTTGCGCGGGAGTGAGCCAGGAAGGAAAGTATTCCTCCCACACTAAGCACGCACAGCCCCGCACAGTAATCTAGGTGCAAAGCAACACCGAGTGTTGTCGCTAAACTTCCTTGGACCCATTAACTACAGAAGCCTGCTTTTGTGGGAAGAAATGTTGTCTGTGCCTAGGTGGATTCATGCTGGCTGTGGGTAATTTCCCACTCTCAGTGGACCTAATACAGGCACTCCCTGAGTTACAAACATCCGACTTACAAATAACTCATAATTAAGAACAGGGTGAGACAACAGGAAGTGAGAGAAACCTATCACTCGGAAGGGAAATCCCTTCCTGGAAGAGCTATGGGGGAAAGAGGTCTGCACTAAAGCTGTGTCACCAACACGTGTTTCCACAAGCCAGATTTTTCAAGATCCAACGATCACAGGGACAGAAAGTGAGGTGAAATCTTCTGAACAGGTACAGTCAGCAAAACAAACTCCACAGGAGTGATAACCCTTCCCTGTGCTATCCAAAGCTGAAAAGACACATATTTTGGCTGGAGTTACATGTCAAAATGTACTTATTAGAAACTTACTGTCTATTGGAGTCCAAACCGACCCAAATATAAACCTAATTTTACCACAAAAACTGGGAAAATGTAGTGACTCAAGTATAAGCCAAGGGTGGGAAATGCAGCAACTACTGGTAAATTTAAAAATAAGAATTGATACCAATAAAATTACATTAATTGAGGCATCAGTAGGTTAAATGTTTTTGAATATTTACATCAAACTGTAATTTAAGACTGTCCAACTCTGATTAAACCATTCTTCTAGCCTTTTTCAATGTAAACGTGCTTACATATCCTTCTAGTAATAATAGAGTAAAATAATAAATGTAATAAAAATAATAATAGAGTAAAACAATGGAAATGTAATAATAACAGTAATAATAGAGTAAAATATTAAATGGAATAATAAAAACAGTAAAATAATAAATGTAATAACAATAATAAATAGAGTAAAATAATAAATAGAATAAAGTAATATATAGAGTAAAATAATAAATGTAATAAAAATTATAATAGAGTAAAATAATGAAAATATAAGAATAACAGTAATAATAGAGTCAAATAATAAATATAATAATAGAGTAAAATAATAAATGTAATAATAAAACAGTAAAATAATAAATGGAATAACAATA